TCAGTAATTTTTGACTATAATTTAATATTCAAGTTACAAATTGAAGTCTTGACTCCTAAAAACAAACAAGCTGAAAACTTCTCTGTATTTGAATGTAAAAAAACATTCATGATGCGTATCTCCTGTAGCAGAACTAAGTATGTCTATGAAGTATTTTATCATCTTTTTTTTGTTTTGGGGTCACACCTGGCTGTGCCATACATAAAAAGGGATCATATGCTGTAGGATAACATAGCCTCAAGTAGTTTAAGTTTATTGGGTTGCTCCCATCACAGTGCTTCCTTTCCTGTGTTTATTTGTAACTTCTTTCTTTGTGCTCTGTTGACTTGTAAATATTGTTTTTCTCTTCTCCTTAAATTTTTTGTATAGTTTATTCAGAGTAATGTCCTTTTTGTATGGGCACAGGAAGACAGTAGCAAATGCTATGCTTTTGTTATGTGGGAGTTATTTGACTCAATGATATTTTCCTCCTGGGCATCTGTTCTCTTGATCTAAGCCTCAGCTACCCTTACTTCCTAGCACCCCCAAAAGCAGGGTCCTGACGAGGGACTGGAGGGACCCAGGGCAAGCGGTGAGTTATGTGCTACCCTGGCATTGAGATGGGCCTGGCCAAAGTGCCTTATGCTTAACTATATAGTTAAGAGCTTGGTCATGGACAATATGCAGTGCCAGGGAGTGAACTGCAGTTGGCTGTGTGCACGTACCTGGACTCTCTCTGATTTGTATTCTTTAGCATCTCATTTTCAAATTACCTCACTTGTACTTGGTACGAGTGAGGTAAGTTGGAAATTACTTCACAGTTCTTGGAATTGGGAAATTAGTTCACAGTTCTTGGAATTTAGCTTTCTTTCTCCCATCTTGGGAACAGACAATTCTGGAGAGACTATGAACATATTCTGATAAACCAGATTATTGACTTGTTAAAAATGCAACCCAGAAAATTAGTCTCTATTATGTTTACCTTTGAGAGGACCTGGCTCTGTTGCAAACTACCCATTAACCGGGATATCTTTCACATGGTTTTAGTGAGTACTCTAAAATAAGGACAAGAACTCTAGTAAAATAGGTATTCAGAAAATGCTACCAAAAGAGGAAAAATAATATTAGTAAAGTGCTGTGACTTTTTCAGTAAAGTATAAATAATAAATAAATGACTAGAAATAGTAAATAATATTGACAATTCTAAAAGTGATACATATAAAATAAACACACAACAGAATATACAGTCTGAGATACATACCAAGATCAAATGTGAATTCCTTTAACTTTACCATATGATACCCAAACTATTTTCCTTCAATAATTTAGAGCTCTCTGAAGTGAAAATGACTGTTCCCTACATACATCAGTGCCTCAACATCCTTTGATAGTCTTCTCTTTCACACTTTAAGATTGTTATTCTCATGATATATGATACTTTTAAAAAACTAAGTAGAAATAGTTTGTATTTGATAGTCCCATAAACCTAAAATTTTGAGGCCTTCTCTGTTGATTTTTGAAATCCTGGCTCTAATGGTAAAATTGTTTCTCTAAAGGAAACACACTTTACACTGACTGTTTTATTTCTTATCTTGAAAACAGCAAGAAAGCTCAGATCTGTTTTATGTTTTTTTAAGAGTGAAATGCACAGAAAAACATCAGCATCATCTTGTTTATCCTTAGACCTGTTTTTCAAGACAGACAAATATTTCAAGCCCCTCCTTCTAAATATCCTGTAAAGCAGAGGAAGAGGGAGGTAGATTTGAACACTGCTCCTTTTCCTCAGTAAAAAAGCTGGGGTAACAGCATTTAGTTTTCACTGTGGGCCCTCATTTGGTGAAAATCATCACTGTAAGCACCAAAATCAGAACCTGGTGGTAATGAATCAGATACACACATTTTCCTTGAATACATTAATTAAAAAACCTCAAAAGCTTGCTTGCACTTCCCTTCCTCTGCGCCTGTGGCAAGCTTCCAACCATAGGCCCATCCTCCAAAACATAATGCATAAAAAATTGGAAATGGTGGTGGAAAGGTTTAATGGTAGTAGGATTGGTGTTGGAATAGTGAATGTAATGAATCGGGAATAACTATAAAAATTTAAAAAAAAAGAGGGAGAAGGGGAGGTAGCAGGGTAGGAGGATGGAGGTGGGGATGGGAGAAGAAGAGAGAGAGAGAGAGAGAGAGAGAGAGAGAGAGAGAGAGAGAGAGAGAGAGAGAGAATGACCCATAGAGAGGCAGGCTAGGGGCGGTGGCAGGAGGGAAACTGGGGACATTGGTGGTAGGAAATGTACACCAGTGAAGGTAAAGGTGTTGGAACACTGTATGACTGAAACCCAATCAGAACAACTTTGTAACTGTGTATCTCAGGGTGCTTCAATAAAACAAACAAACAAACAACAGCAAAACACTCCTTTCTTAAAATGACATTTGATTTTCTGTAGCAGTAGGCTCTCATTTGATTTCAATTTCATCTTTAGACCCTAAATCAGAGCCCAAAGCTTGTGTAACAGATAAAAAGTTCTTCTTGAATATGTTTAAAAAGAAAAAAAAAGTCAACCAACCCAATACTGTTCTTTCTTTAATCTTAAACAAAATTTATATAGGGTTACTATGTATAATTACAGGGGACATACTATTCATACTATGTCTAGTAAAATACATAAACAGCTTGTCTACAAAACTGTTAGAAGGCCAGTAGTGCTTTTCAGCACCCACAGAATTCTGGCCATCATACTGAATCACTGTATTCTCTCTTCTCTCCCTTTTTGGGGCTTACCTGCTGGGGCCTAGTGGCTAATCCCAGATCAGTACTCAGTAATGTGCAATTCTGGGAGTGAACCTAGGGCTTTGCATGCAAAAAATGTGTTCCAGCCCTCTGAGCTATTTCCCTGTTGCAACTGTATTTTTAATGGCCTTAAATCGCTATCTTAAAAATGGCTTAATAATTAAAAAAGTAAAGTAAGTAAAAGAAAATAGATGCTTTCTCTTAAAAAATAAAAAATATAGCTAGTATTATATGACTAGTTAGTGCCCTTTTAAGGGCGGAACAGAATATAAATCATACTTTTATCTACCATCTCTTACTGAACAATATGCTATCTTAAATATTGAGATTTTTGTGTTATCTATTACTATTACATTAGGAATATTTGTTAAAGCAGTTAAGCTTTAATAGTATCAGTACTTTTTTTTGATAAATATTTGTTGTAATCAGGTTATTTCTTACTCTGATCCTCCATTCTACTCTCACAGAATGGATCTGCATAACATCCTTCTGTTACTTTTTTCAGATTTCAATGCTCATTTATATATAGCATACAAACCTAGTCTTATGAATATTAATAGAAGCATATGAAAACAGAAAAAATACTGATGATGTCATAGTATTGATGATATACATTAGAAAACATTTATAGATACTGTCCCTGCTCCCAACTGCCAAACTCATACACCAAATTATTAGTTTCATCTTTTGTTTCTCAAACTAATGTCCCATCTCTAGGATTTTTCAGTGCAATTCCAAGAATAGAAGCATATTTCTGTTTCAAGATAAAAATTAAATAAATTTGAAAAAGTTTTTATGCTCATAAAGATACATGTAGGTTAAAGTCAAATAATTTTTTAAAAGTTTTTATAAAGATATGTGGAATGGTTTAATAAAGGTTTAAAAACAAAATAACAGGTGTATACTTCTAAAGAATATGATCAGTGATTTAAAAGACGTGGTGTCATCACAGTCGTGCTGCTCTGCATTAAGAAAACAAGAAGCTAAACACTGGTACATCCAATGACTTAGAAACGAAGGGGAATAGAAATGAGCTGTGTCAGCAGCAAATTATTTTATGCATTTTAAGTTTCTGAGAATTAAACAGTACTTATAAAACTGAAAGATAAAACCATTGTGCTGAAATTACGTAGAGTTAAAAATTTTAAATTAAAGGAATGTTCAAATATGCTTTAGACAAAGTAAAAACTTGAACGACAGTTGGGACCAGGGAGATAGTATAGTGGGTAGGGCACTGGCCTTGCATGTGGTTGACCCGGGTTTGATCTCAGCATTATGGTCCCCTGAGCACCACCAGGAGTAATTTCTGAGTGCAGAATCAGGAGTAACCACTGAGCATTGCCAGGTGTGACCTGGTCAGGTTTTTGTTATGTAAACTAAAGTCAAAAAGCCAAAAAAAAAAAAATTGAATGACAGAGTCACACTAAGAATATCCTACCTCAGTTAAAATGATATAGGGGGCTGGAGCAATAGCACAGAGGGTAAGGTGTTTGCCTTGCATGCGGCCGACCCAGGTTCAATTCCCAGCATCCCATATGGTCCCCTGAGCACCGTCAGGAGTAATTCCTGAGTGCATGAGCCAGGAGTAGCCCCTGTGCATTGCCGAAGTGACCAAAAAACAAAAAAAACAAACCAAAACAAAAAAAACAAAAACCTATGATATACTTATATATATGAAAAGACTTACAAAGCAGCTCTGAAACTGCATTCTCAATGTAACGAAACAGGAAGCAACCAAAATAAGCTGACATTTTAAGGTGATAGAAAAAGATATTATCTTTATAGTGGAAAACCCACTGCAGCTATAAAAAGGGAAAAATAAACATGCTAAAATAATGTTTGAAGACTTTGTACAGTATGCAGTATACATGTTAATGCTAATTTAGGCTAACAGCTTTCATTGCTAAGAAGTACAATATGTTATCAGCTCAAGTAGCCACTCAGAGGCAGAGGATTGGGATAAAGATTGATACATAGTGCTATATTAAAAAGATGAATGCTTGATAAAAAGCAAAGATACTGAATTTGCTTAAAAGAATATATACATACATATAAATACATATGTATATACACACACGATATTTTTGGTTCTTCGATCACACCCATCTGTGCTCAGGGCTTACTCTCTGGTCCTGTGCTCAGGGATCACTCCTGGCAGGGCTCTGAAGATCATATGGGATACCTGGGATCAAACCCGTGTCAACCTTTTGCAAGGCAAATGCTGTACTATCACTCAGGTCACTAAAAAGATACGTTTTATTAATTCTTCCTAACTCATCTTTAACTTATCTCTTATTGTTGACCTAACAAAAGAAATAAACGTATTGATGTTTCTGACCTGGTAACATTTGGCTTAATTTTATACAATTGAGTTTTTGTTATGTAAACTAAAGAAATAAGAACATCTCAACATTACAGAGGTCATTACCCTTTATCTTAAAATTTCATCAAGCCAACTTTACCTGGCTTGGAATATCTAAGAGAAACATTTCAACCTAGATTGATTTCGGAACACCGGCCTTTTATTTAGGTAGTTCTTTATATTAGATATGATCAAGTAATTAGATAATTGATTAAAATGATGAAGTTTTTGAAAGGGCTTTTAAGATAAATCCAACTATATTATTTATTCTTATTTTTAGAAGTGGTAAAATGCTATTTGCTTGGACTTCCCCCTGTTACAAATGTCTTAGATATGGACTACATATATGGGATGGACTCATCTGAAATATGAACTCAGATACAAGATGCTTCAATATTCTTTAATTATTTACTTGGTAATTTCATACCCTGGTTAGAAGCAAAACAGGAAATAAACTTTCTGCTTATGAGGCTCTGGATGCTGGGGTGGTGGGTCACACCAAACTAAAGCAGTGACACTCTATTCACTGTACTGCTAGCAAGAACCAGGGTCGCTGTCCAAGAGAATCATGGGTTTGATAATGGTACTGGGTACAGGGGCTTGAGAAAACAGCACAGCATTGAGCTCACATTCAGACGAAAACACCTGATGCCTTTCCACTCCCAGACAACCTTCCTAAGAAATCACTGATTACTGGAGAAAGAGATTTTATAAGTCTTGTCCAAAGTTGTGCAAGGGAGCAGGTCTTTTTTTGTAGTTACATCTACTTTTAATTCAAATTTTTACTTTTAAATGACAGAATGTTTAAAAACAGAATTTCTTTTATGTAATAAAAATAATTTACTACACCTTAATGGCATAGTGAAAGAGAATGAATATTATGAATGTAAATACTACAAGTAGAGCATGCAACAGATACTTAAGAAAATGTCCTAAAAACGTAGCATCTTTCTAACCCAATTAGAGAATATATCTGCTTTACAACGATGAATTTCAATTAGTTGAACCCTAATATTTTAAGATATTTGTGGAATAGGAGGAGGGGTAAGAGCCATCCTAGTTTTTAATCTTTTATGTCAAATATTTTTATGTTGACTAGGTCTACCTAGTTCTGAAACCCCACAATGCATTTTACTCTCATAGTTTTCTTCATTATTACTGGAGTATGGATATCAATTCATACTACATTCAGGTATTTGTAGTTAATGCAAAGTATCAGCACAATGTATGGAATTATTTCTGTGCATATTCTAATACCTTTCAAGTGCAATTTTTGAAACAAAAATACTAATTTTTAGGTCAAATTTCTTATAAAAAAAGAAAATAACTTAAAAACCTAACACTTCAATACAGTTTCTGAAAATTCACGATTACATTTTGCTTGACCTAAAGTTAGTGTTTTGTATTTACTTATTTTGGTTTTGGGGCCACACCCAGCAGTGTTCTGAGATTATTCCTGGCTCTGTGTTCAAAGATCACTTCTGGCAGTGCTTAGGGTACCATATGAGGGTGCCAAGAATTGAACCTGGGTTGGGCATATGTAGGCCTTACCGCTGAACTATTTTTCCGCCTCCCTACTCAACTATACTTAATATACATAGCACAATGAAACATGAACTTCTGAATAGCAAGTACATGAAATAAAATTTACTCTTATTAAATGACCTTTCTAAAACAAATGAAAAAATTGACCTAATTTCAGTGGTTTATTTGCTGTTAAATGATGGACAAGAAAAAAGCTGCAGGAAACTAAATATCATTTGAATCAATGAGACTTCGGCAGCGCCTTTTCATTTTTCAAATAAGTGATATTTTGCATTAATATAGCACCTTTGTAGTCATGTTGTCAAAATGCTTTACAATCATTATTGACAGGCATTCCTCATGGTTTACAATCTGACAACAAATCTAAGCACTCTGCGGTAACCAAATACCCAAGACAATCTGTTCAGTAACAGATTCTTGAACTAGTATATAGAATCAGGAAAAATATGTGAAAGATATAACATAATATATGACCTAGCTGACTGATACTAAAATTATAACTATGAAGAACTATTAAGAAACATAGCAATGTAACAAGGTGCATGTCTAGAAGAAACTGCCTCAAAATTACTTGTGAGTATATGAAGGGCAGATCTTTCAGATGGGAGGGTAATTCAATACTCTTTCAGTTACATTACCAAAACCAGGTCCCTGGTTACAGTGAGATTTCAAAAGAATAAAGATTAGTATAGTCTAATTTTTTGAAACGTAATTTTCTTCCGAATAACATAACCAATACACTAAATTCTGCTAGCCAACAAGATAGGAGGAAATAATGAAACTCTGTATTTATGTTTTAAAAAGTTTCCAAATCTTCAGATAGACTTGATTTCCTATAAAAAAATGTGAAAACTCATTTTCTACTATCAGGTGCTTTGCACAAGATTTGATTAGCACCTCCGCCAATGTATACATCTTTGCTAAAAGTGCACTTGCCAACCATTTAGATAGTAAATATGCAAGTTATTTGAAGTGCATTTGGAAAAACAATCAAAAACACATCATAATGAATACATCATAAAAAGATTAATTCCCTTTCAACAAAGACATTCTTATAAAGCATGGTAACACAGAGCACAATAAAGAATATAAATTGTGTATCAATTGTTGGCAGAAAATCTAATTCATTACAAAGCCTACACCATTGGGGAAAACATTTCATATAAAGAAAAGTACTATTATACAACACTTTTAATTGGGCATTTAAAAAATTTTGGCACATTAAAGGAACTGAAAGGTCTACAAAATAAAAGACCAAGAAATGAAAACATGGATACAGGAGAAAGTCCTCAAGGAGAAATAACTAAATTTTAACATAAAATAGAAACAAAATATAAGCTGGCTGAATTTTCCGAAATGTTGGTGTATGTAACAGAAGTATGCTTTGAATGTAGGGTGTTTTAACTCTAACAGTAACACTTGTCTACCTTGCTGTGGCTGGTTGAACATGGCCTGGGTAAGATCTTCTGGTGCTGGTTGCCTGTCTTTGCCTAGCCAGAAATGACTGCCCTGAACCTGTACTAGCAAGTCTATCTTCAGCTGCTTTTTTATGCAGAGTCATCCCCTGCAACACAGAAAAAGAAAAGTAATCAATGAAAAATAATGGAATAGCCCACAAAGGAAATTCCATCATGCAGAATTTAATTATGAGAGGGTACAATTACGAACGTCCTTCTGTTCATTATAGATTAAAATCCTTTATTTTAATTCAAGCAATTAGGTAGAAATCTTCCTCTGGAAAAGGGCTTAATTCTGTGAATTTATAGTATTCCCAAACAAAAAATTTTTGGTATATATTACCCATACTCAATCATACATATTTCCCTTTCAAATCAAACACTGATTTTTCCAAGAAAAAAAATGTGTCACTGATTAGTATCTGTTGATTCAAAGAACTTATTGAACATGGAAAAACATAAAAGCACTTGTTTGTAAGATGGACAGCCACATTAGGTATAATACATACCATTATGTGTTTTCTTCACTCCATATGAACCTGGATTCTCGAAAAACTAGGAAATAATCCTAAGAGCTCCCCAAGAGGGCCCAACTGAGAGCAGGGGCTCCTCCTTGGAAGACAGCCTACTAGCTTAGAAAGAAGGGGTCTGATGCTGAGCCAGAGCACCTTAACTGGAGAGAAGAAATCTGGGGGTATGAGGTGGGGGGAGTTCTACAAATAAAGAAAAATGTGTCTCTCTGGCTACAATTAAATGAGTACTTAACAAGTTAGTGAAGAAGCCTAGCTGGAAAAACATTATGAATGACTGGATACAAGTAAACTGACAGAAGAAAAAGGACACTGGTCAAAAGGATGAAGTGATCAATGGGAATATTAGGCAGGAGAGAGAGGAAGATAAGTCACTCTGTGAAAGAAAAATGACTTTCCCAGATGAACTGGATGAATGGGCAGAAGACTGAAAAACACATCATTCAAGCACTAGAGCTTAGCTTCTCAAAAAAATATTGGTAATGGCTTTGATTCTCAGACAGAATTTCAATCATATGTATCCTACTATTTATACAATAATTCCTTCATTTCTCAACAAGAAAGTCCAGAACATGTTTTTCACTCAATTTGAGATTAAAGCACTTAAGAATTTGAATAAAATGTCAAACTTTATAAAATGTAAAATATTATTATACACGTGTTCTTAGTGACAAATACTGAAATTTAAATTTTACTTAAAATATACTAATGTATCTTCAAACCATTTTTTTTATTATTATTTTTTTCTCTTTGGGTTTGCACCCAGCAATGCACAGAAGTTACTCCTGGCTCATGCACTCAGGAATTACTCCTGACGGTGCTCAGGGGACCATATGGGATGGTGGGAATTGAACCCAGGTCGGCCATGTGCATGGCAAATGCCCTACCCGGTGTGCTATCGATCCATCCCCATCTTCAAACTACTTAAATTCCTCATGAAGTTTTAAGACCATTTAAGTTCATCACAATGCTCTTGGATACCTAAAACAAAATCCCAGAACTTTCAAATGTCATTTCCATTTTGGCTGTTTTGAGATGAAAAACTTTATGAACATAAGTATGAGGCCATTACCACCTAAGAACTGAACAGAACTTATTAGCTTACATGAATTTTATTCTCTGGGGAGAATACTGCCACTTTATTCTCTGGGGAGCTGAAAATAAGGACTACTATTTAATACTATATTTAAAATAAATATGGTTTCAAAAGAAATATAACTGTGAACTCATAAAAATCAATAAAGAATACTAACATTGCTAATAGAAGGGAAGAATTTGAAGACTAAAACACTAACCTTTAAGGAGGTAAAAAGAGGACACAAAATTGGTATAATCGAGATTAGTTCTTAAGAACTTCCTTAAATACATGTATTCTTTTCTCTATTTAAAATTTTTCATTTTCAGAAATCTGTATTTAATAAAAACAGTACTTGAAGCCCAACATCAATTCCTTTCTTGTTTTTAAAATTTGAAATGTCTTAAAAACATAACTTTAATCACCAAATATATTCATCCATCACATAATGGAAGATATGTTCCGAGAAATGTATCATTAGGTGATATTTTTCATTGTGATAACATTATAATGTGCAATTATATGAACCTAAATGGTATAGCCAACTATATACATCTAGGATATGTGGTATAATTTATTGATCACACTCAAAAATGTGGTCCATTGTTAACAGTTTTTTTTGTTTTTTTGCTTTGTGGGTCACACTGGGCGATGCACAAGGGTTATTCCTGGCTCATGCACTCAGGAATTACTCCTGGCAGTGTTCGGGGGAACATATTGGATGCTGGGAATCGATCCTGGGTTGGCCACGTACAAAGCAAACACTCTGCCCGCTGTGCTACTGCTTCAGCCTCCCCCAATTGAAACATCTTTAAGAGATGCGTAACTCTGTGACCAAATTACAAAGTGTTTACATTTTTTGTCTTTTAAAAATTATCATCAAATTTGGGGCCAGAGCAATAGGACAGATGATAGGACATTAGTCTTGCACGTTGCCAACTGGGTTTGATCCCCAGTATTCCATATGGTCTCCCAGAACCGCAAGGAGTGATTCATGAGTGCAGACTCAGGAGTAACCCCTGAGCATCGCTGTGTGTGACACAAAAAGTCACCCACCCAAATTATCATTAATTTTGTTATTGATTTATCAGTTAATAACACTGAGAGGCCTGGGGCAAAGATTATAACTGAGACAAACACTGATACCATGATAGCACTCTTCAATGACACAATCAGAGGTCAGGGATAAAAAAGAAAAAATGTGTATCAAAGAATATTTTTTAAGCTCTGCATTTTTCAAAATTCAGTTCTTTATAGGTTTATGTCCAGAAAAATCCTACTGAAGCCCAGAATGTTGATCATCATTTATTTCCCCCTGCATTTTATATATATATTGGCTTTTAGGCCATACTGGGAGGTACTCAGGGCTGACTCCCAGCTCTGTGTTCAATGGTCATCCCTGCAGGTGCTCAGGGGATTAGTTCAGAATTGCTTGCATACAAGCAAGCAGCTTGACCCCTGTAATATCTCTCAAGCCTGAATGATTTCCTTTTTGTTTTGGGGCTGTGCTCGGGGCATACTCCTGGCTCTGTGCTCAGGAGACCATATGTGGTGCTAGAAACTGAACCAGCTGCATGCAAGGCAAGTAAGTGCTTAACCCGTTCTATCTCTCCATCTCCGTTTTTTTGTTTGTTTGTCTGTTTCTGGGTCATGCATAGTGTCCAGGGCTTGGCCCTGGCTCTGTCATCTGGGACCAATCCTGACAGTGCTCAGGACTACATGGGTTGGCCATGGACAAGGCAAGAGTCATAACTCTATACTATCTATTCAGCCCCTCTCTGCTATTTTATAGTTTTAATACTCTAATTTATATAGTTATGTACTATAACTATACTTTTATAGTTTTTTTTTGGTCTCTGCATGTATTGGAAAATTCTATTTAAAAACCTCCAGTGAGGGCGATAATTAGGGAAAGGCCACTAGGACAACGGTGGAGGGAAACAGTGCCTGCCACATAGGCAGGCAGGGGAGCTAGAGGGAAACTGCAGAAACTGGAGAAGGTAGTGGACACTGATGGAGGGATTGGTGTTGGAACACTGTATGCCTGAAACTTAATAATAAATAACTTCGTAACTTTGTAATTCATGCTGACTGAAAATTAAAAAGTTATAAATAAACACCAACCTCCAGTGATTCAGGGTTTAATCCATGAACATTTTCAAAAATTTAAGATATTTAAACTTTTCTCATCTGAAGTATTACTCCAAATAAGAATCCAAAGCTATTATATCTTTGTTGAGGTATAATTGAATTCACTTCCCCTGGAAATGAAATAGTTCTAAGGGACAAAAATCAAACTACCAATCATCTCTCAGTCCCTTAGAGATAATCCTGTGTTCAAAATGCCCTAAACCTGATCATGTTGTTTTTTCAATCTCTGATTTTCAATCTTAAAGTCAGCAGTAAGACTTTGTTAGTGTGTTAGACTAGCAATTACTTTCAGATTCATTTTGTAAAATTATTTTTACAGTAAAGGAAAAATGTTACATTCACTAAATTTTATAATAGGATTTAAAGAGTTATTTTCTTACCATATTATACCAGGCACTGACAATGTACTTCTCCTCCATCTCTCTTTGATTCTTTGTTTTCTCATATTCCTTCTAAAAGTCAAGCAGAGAAAAACATATTTAAGATGAAAAACTGTCACTAAATCAATAATTCTTTCTAGAAAGTCATTAAAGTTCCAAAATCCTGGGTACAAATGTACAGAGCAAAGTTCTGAGGAATAATAAAAAATAAAATACTATTTAGTGTACACTAAGTTACCTCTAATGAATGGAAAAGGCGATCTCTTTCCTGGAGTTGATTTTTAAGAGCTTGTATTTCTGGTGCTGCTCCTTGATTCTGTTTAGGATCTAGAGTACGGATAACCTGCAAAAATCAATGAAATATGTGTGTGTATATATATATATATTTTTTTTTTTTTGGATCACACCCGGCGGAGCACAGGGGTTACTCCTGGCTCTACACTCAGGAATTACTCCTGGCGGCGCTCATATGGGATGCTGGGAATAGAACCAGAGTCGGCCGCGTGCAAGGCAAACGCCCTACCCGCTGTGCTATTACTCCAGCCCCAGTAAAATATTTTTAAAGTATGTAACATCTGTTATCAGAGTTATTTTAATAATCCCAAAGGAAAAACCTAATAGGAGTAAAAAGCTATCTTAAAAGGATATTTTAAAAATAAAATACATTAAATATTCAATTTTAACTTCTAATTTATATAAGACTTAATTATAAGAAGAAATTCTGGCTTAAAATAAATAAATACTAATAGACACTACTGTTAATAATAGCCATACTGTCTTTGCTTTTTCTGATTTGGGTTGGTAAGCCCTTTCTACCTATGTAAGGAGTTGGTCTAAAGGGTTTACAAGTCATCACTGTGGTCCATTTCCTTTGCCTATGGTCTGATTTATACATGGACATGTAAATATAATTCTAACCAGTGAATCAGAGGCCTTTGATTTTTTTACTAAAAATCGTTTACTTTTACTATAAAGACGATACCCATAGAATAAAACTTGAGAACAAAATAGTAAAACTTAAAAAAGTTAAAACTTTAACTTAGATTCATTACTACTGTAATAACATGCTAAATTTTCTCTTGCTGCACAACATGCACTGGAATATTTTTTTTTATTGAATCACAGTGAGATACAGTTACAAAGCTTTCATGATTAAATTTCAGTCATAAAATGATTGAACACCCATCTCTCCACCAGTGTACATTTCCATCACCAATGATACATCACCCAGTATCTCTCCCGCCACTCCCCACCCTACCCACTGACTCTATGGCAGACAATTTCCTTCTCTCTCTCTCTCTCTCTCTCTCTCTCTCTCTCTCTCTCTCTACTTATGGGCATTACGGTTCATAATACAAATACTGAGAGGTGATCATGTTTGGTCCTTTGTCTACTTTAAGAACACATCTCTGATCCTGAGTGATCCCTTGGAGATACAGTGGAATATTTTTTTTTCTTTGCTGGTGGCCAACAGTTATTTATTTAATTTATTTATTTTTATTAGTGAGGTACAGTTGTACACTTACAAATTTTTGTGCTTGGGCTTCAGTTATACAATGATTGAGTCCCATCTGTCCACCAGTGCCCTTTCTCCACCACCAATGATCCCACTACCCCTCCCCCCCACCCCCACAGTGGACTATTTTAAAATAATTTGTAGATCTTATGACACAAAACCCTTCATTACTTCAATGTATATGTCCTTTCACTAAGTACTTTCTCTAACTTTATCAAATATCATCATCATTATCATAGTAAAGAAAATAAACAATTCTATAAATCATCACTATTTAGTCCAAGTCCACAAATCCACAGGAGTGTCCAAATGTTTTTTCACCCTAACCAGGACCCAATTAGAGTACTGGGTTTGGTCCTTCGATCTGTGGTCCCTCTTCATAGATTACTTTAGTTTTTCAAAACACAATACTTGCTTTTCCCCCAACTCTGGATTTATCTGATGATTTCCAAAAACTTTTATTCAACTTGTTTCAGAATCTAATTTTCCTAAGAATTAAAAGTCAGGTTAGAATCTATCTTTTTTTGTTGTTTTTGTGCCATACTTGAGACTTATTCCTCATTTGCACTTAGGGATGGCTCCTGGTGGAGCTCCAGGAACCATGCTGGGAGGTAGTAGGATTAAATTCAGGTCGGGCAAGTGCAAGGTGAATGCCCTACACAGTGTACTCTGGCCCGAGAACTAGCTTCTTAAAACTCTGGCTGCAACCTCAAATGGGGTTGGATAACTGCATGTGGGGGGGTCATAAAAATTGTGTTTTACAATAAAACTTTGATTTATTACCAACAAATGTTTGACTTGCATACCAATTTTGTATACCTGGGATTATGTAAATTATGGAAAAATGTCTCAGGCAAACAGCGGTTAAGGCATTTGCCTTGCATGTGGCCAACATGGCCGAGCCGGGTTCTTTCCTCCACCCCTCTCGGAGAGTCCAGCAAGCTATTGAGAGTATCTCGCCCGCACGGCAAAGTCTGGCAAGCTACCCATGACGTATACAATATGCCAAAAATAGTAACAACAAGTCTCATAATTTGTTGTTTGTTGTGAGACATTACTGATGCCCACTCAAGCAAAAAAAAAAAAACAATGGGAGGACAGTGCTAAAGTCTATGGCAAAAAGGTAATGTGAGGAAAAAGTTTAAGAAACCCTGGTCTAGAAAATTACTTAACGCAGGTAAGCTATTTCAGTGATACTCCATGACAAAACATGCAGATGTTGGTTGTCTACCTTTAGTGCTGCTAATTTAAATTAGACTACTAAGGTGATGACCGCCACTTATTTTCTACATACTTAAAATTTATTTCCTCCTGGTAGTTCTTAATCTTCTTCTAAGAGATTTCTGCATTAGAAGTCAGTGTAGATGCACTGTATTGTAAGACATCAGTGAACAGGATCACAAGTGGAGTAAGGTGCCTACAAAATTCATACTTACACTTTTGGCTTTCTCTAAGTACTTTTTATATCGTTCCTCCATTTGCTTCATTTCCTCTTCTTTTTTCCGTAAAGCTTCTTGCAGTTCTTCGATTTTTAATGCTGTATATGGCATAGTTAAAAAGAAAAAGAATTTTAAGAATTTGAAAATATTTTAACGGATGTATCTGAGAAACTGGTCTAGTTCTTTATGTAATTTGGGGTGGGGGGGAGGCGACTAATGGCAGAGCTTTGGGTGTGACAGGGCTACACAGGTGATGATGGGGAGACACATGCAATATTAAGGATTAAACTCAGGACCTCAAGCTCACCAGGCAAGTGCTCTACCACTTGAATCACATCCCTGATCTGTAATTTCCTTTCTCCTGCCTTCCCTTCCCTCTGTTGGTGTTTGCTGTTGTGGTGACTGGGGGTGGAGCGTTGCACACACATTTGGCTTAGAGCTAAGAGGCTTGAATATCATGGTGTGCTGTCTGTACATGCTCAGGTCACTGCAGGGGTTTGCATTTTCTTATTGTGGTGCTTCTGCATATTCTGGGATGCAGTATTCAGTAGTGAGGGTACACTCCTGGCAGAGGGGATCTCAGTGTGATGACTGCAGGGGGAGTTGCCCTCTTCACTGTAGAAGCTGCAGTATGAGGGGTCTCAGGGTAATGCTGGGCACTGCATGGTAACATCCAGGACTGAACTGACATCTTTAGAAATCATGTCCTGTTCCCCTCATGTGCTTTTTCAAAGAAACGATTTATAAATTTTTGACTACCAATTATTGCTCAAGGGGTCCTTATTCAACAATAATTCTTTTCCTTTCTTTTTTTGGGGGGGTTGGAGGTGGATACCTGGCTGTTCTCAGGGCTTACTCCTTGCTCTGTGTTCAGTAATCATTCCTGGATGGGCTCAGGGGAACATATGGGATGCCAGGGATGAACCCAGGCCGGCCGCATGCAAGGCAAAAGCTGTCCCTGCTGGACTATCACTCTGACCCATTTTTTCTTAAATTGAAAGAATTAATGACTAATAAAACTTGCCTTTTTAGGCAACTTTCTAAGAGAAAACATCAACAGAAGACTCTGGTTTACTTAAAATTTTATAACATTAATTAGCATTCATAGTTAAGGAAAAACTGAGAACTATAATTGAAAATTTAATATATAATGTAAAGCAAGCAGAACAACTACAAAGAAAATACGTGTGAGTGCCAAAGCCAGGGGTGCAGCTCTTGATGGGTTTCACAACCATCACTGGTGCGACTCAATGACAGCAGGTGAGCCCTGGCACTTGAAACAGCTGAATGTGCACATACCACCCCCAAGAGTCATCACACAACATCAACAACAATGAAGGGGCAGGAGAAGGAATCAAAACAAAACGTTAAGATGATTTTTTTCTTTGAATAAGTAAATTATTTTAGTGCTAGAATAATAGGGCCTCATTCTAAAAGAAAATCTTTATATAAATTCATTATGAGGTAATGGGTGAATAACCAACTAAGAACTACGCTTTAGAAAAACTCACAGCTATTATTAAATCTTGGTTCAAGATCCTCAATAATGGCTCTCTTCTTCTGTAATTCATTATTGGCTTCATGGAGCTTCTCCCTGTAGCAAAATATTTAACACTGACAATTACAGAAACAGTAGTATAGCATATCTAAATTATTCTTGAAATAAACTTGTGGTATAAACACAAAAATGCTATGAAACAAATGTATAACAACAAATCCACTATGAATTTAATACATTTTAAAAATAAGTAACAAGAGACAAAAATCTCACTCTTATAACAGTACTATCTTTACATGCAAGAAGGTACAAAGACAGTCATTCCAACTCCAAACTTCCTGCTGTTTTCATAGACATTAGTCCTTTGAACTCCCTCTCTCGCGCCCAGAATTTTAATTAATATTATGATTCTTGTGCTAGGCCTCTATGTATATTCTTTTTTTTGTTTTCTGGTTCACACCCGGTGTTACTCCTGGCAGTGCTCGGGAGACCATATGGGATGCTGGGAATCGAACCCTGACTGGCCTTGTGCAAGGCAAATGCCCTACACACTGTGCTACCACTCCAGCCCCTCTGAGTATATTCTTAATAACTGCTTAATATTGTGCAATTCTTACTTTGTACATCAATTATTTAAGGTACTGCTCTGATCTCTATCTTCTACTTAACATGTTTTTTACTTCATCTACATTAATGTGTTAGCCCTTTTACACATTTTTGATAGTGTTCTATTACTTGAACATTCTTTAGTCTGTAATTTTGTAACATGGTATTTGCACTTCCTAGTTTTTATGACTACAATAATCCTCTTCCACATATTCTTCATGTCTCCTGGTATCCCTGTACGAAAGTACCTCTAGGGACCAATTATCAAACTGGTATGTCACAGAACAAACACGTGCATGTTCAAGTTCCTAAGTAGGTAAGCAAGATCCTTGCCCAAAACGTTCAGCAATAACTAGCATGTGTGCTGGTGTTGGCTTTCACTCCTGACTCAGCAGTGTTCAGAGTCACTCCCTGTTCAGTGTCCAGGGTCACTCCTGGAGTTTCAGGGGATGATGCAGGGGAATCAAACACACAGGTTTTCATTTTTGAGGTGCTGGAAACTGAACTCAGGTCCTCACACATGCGAGACAAGTGCTCTACCACACCTCCTAGCTGAGAACATTTGTTTTTTAAATTGTACTAATCTGGTGCACTGGTCTCCACTGCAGTCTGAAGATTTCTTTAGAACAATCTTTTATAATGTCGATGGGTCCTGCTGTGGGCTGGGAATCGCAATTCCCAAAGAGAAAAGCCCTCAAGCTTGTGAATGTGATGTTTGGAAACAGTGTCTGTTTGGATCTGATTAGTGAGGATGAGTCAGAAAGGGGGGGGGGCCTTAGATCAGTGACTACTGTTCTCTAAGTCATTGGAAGGTGCAGGCACACTGAAAGGAGGCAGGTGAAGATGGAGAGAGGGTGCATGAGGCATAGAGGATCTAGGGAAGGCTGGAGACTGTGGAAGCAATGTCCAGTAGGGACAAAGCACAGAACTGACTGTCCTTTGGACTTCTAGAAAGAATCAATCAACCCTGCCGATTTGATTTCAGATATCTAGCCTCAAGAACTGTTAGAGAACAAATGTCTGTTAATGCTCATTTTGTTTTTTATTTTGGTTCATATGTGGCAATGCTCATGGCTTACTCCTGGCTCTGAGTTTAGGGATTGCTCCTGGAATGGAACATATGAGGCACTGGGAATTGAAATGGGCTGGACGCATGTAAGGCAAACCTACCCACTGTACTACTTCTCTGCTCCCTGCTACTGTCTATTCTAAGCTGTTCTGAATGTGGTTAAAAAAAAAGTCCTCATTTACATCAATAAGTCATTTTTTAATTTTTACAGGAGCCCCTAAAACTGCAAATCTAAGCAAACTCTTGGCAATACTTGACCTATTGGTGCCAGAAGCCAGCAAGGCCACACCTCACAGAGATGGGTGAAAGGACATACAGAAATGGGAATCAGACTTGGGGCTTCCTTCATGCCAGGCATAAGCTGTACCCCTGTAAGTTATCCTCCTGGTGCCCTTAGAAAAATTATTCTGAAAGGTTTTTTTACCATGTAAATGACTGAACAAAGAACAAAAGTCAGACAATAGTTCTGTAAAACAATTTCTATTTTTTAAAATAAAGGAATGGAAAAAAGAAAAAAGGACAGAACTCATCTGACCTGGCAACGTTTCTATTACAGTACATTAGGAATATGCTCACTGTTAGGTCGGCCAGCAAGTGGCAGTTGCTAGAAGTATCTCACGTGTCTCACATTTAAATTAAAACAAACAAAAAGGAGGCTGAAGGGCACATTGCTCGCCTTGCATGTGAGGAAGGTTCAGCCCTGGGCACAAAAAAACAAAAAAAAATGTGGCAAACTGCCAGACTTCATAATTTCTTTCTAATCGAGTAGAACAAGTCAAAATTATCTCTGTGGTACTGAGGCTGTTGGTCTCACCACTGTATAATTGTGATATTCCAAAGACCTGTAATTTATGGTTATCTTAGCTTCAATAATCTGGTGACTAGAAAGATTAGCTAAAATGACAGGAAGTACTGAAACTGTTATTGAACGCAAGAAAAATCACGCAATATTTCTTGCACTTTCAATTCAGATAAAGATGAATAAAAATGTCTTCCTCACGAGGACACAAATTAATGTTTAAAACTTGTTTCAGAGACTGGAGTGACAGTACAGTGGGTAGGGTGCTTGCCCTGTATACAGCCAATCTAAGTTTGACGCCTGGCATTCCATATGGTCCTTTAAACCTGCCAGGAATAATTTCTGTGTGCAGAGCCAGGAGTAACCACCTCTGACAACTGCTGGGTGTGGGTAAAAACCAAAAATAAATGAAATAAAACAAAACAAAAACAAACCAGCTTGTTTCATCTTTGGAGTAAAAAGTCATGTTCAAATATCTTTGCAATTTAAGAGAATACTTGAAAATTGGTCAATGACAAGTTTTATAATACTTGAAAAAAAATTAAAAGGTCAATTCTACTGGTAACATTCTAGAATTAACATCTGGAGGCCAAATTCAGCTAATTTTACTGGAACATAGTCACATTAGTTTATGTATTACCTGTAACTGCTTTAAAATACACATCTAAGTGTTTGTGACACAGAATATGGCTTATAAAACTGAACCAAGGCCCAGGTATGAGGGACTTGTGACTGAAAACTCAAGGTTCAATAAAACAGGGAATGGGTGGCTTCCCCCCACTTTCCCATTTCCCCGGTAGCTTGGCAGTTACCCTCGGAAGAATGCACAAACGAGACACCATAGCCATGTCATCAGGCTGTTTCATTTGAGGCAATCTTGCAGGGGGCGGGTGAGGCCCCTCCCTGCCCCAATGGAGCCAGCTCCAACAGCCAAAAACTTCCAGATCTCAACTACCACCACACTCACAACCACACTCCACATGCTCAGATAAGCCTCACCCAGGAGTTAATCTATTTCTATTTCTATTTCTGGACTGCGCAAAATCTCATACTTTACACCACCAACGTACCAAGAGTAGCACATGACATTTGATTGGGTTTAAAGTAGAAGGCAGAGGCTGAAGCGATAGCACAGCGGGTAGGGCGTTTGCCTTGCACACGTTCGATTCCCAGCATACCATATGGTCCCCTGAGCACCGCCAGGAGTAATTCCTGAGTGCAGAGCCAGGAGTAACCCCTGTGCATTGCCGGTTGTGACCCAAAAAAAGAAAAAAAAAGTAGAAGGCAACCAATCTTAGAGAAAAAAAAATATATATATGCACGCATACAAGGGTCAACCTTTAACAACATGTTACTAATCTCTTATAGAAGGGCTTAATGGCTCCTGGGTGAAATACAACAATCTTCACACATTTTCCTCTAAGAAACCTTTTTTGTCTCATTTTTAGCAGATAGTTTATAACAAGAATACTGTAGGACTGTAGTAGCACTGTCCTCCCACTGTTCATCAATTTGCTTGAGCGGGCACCAGTAACGTCTCCATTGTGAGACTTATTATTGTTTTGGCATATCGAATATGCCACGGGGAGCTTGCCAGACTCTGCTGTGCATCAAGAATACAAAATAAATTATTTTGGTTCTGCTTTGGGGCAGGGGTTGGGGTTTGGGATGGAAATACAGTGATGGGAAGGTGTAATGGTGGTGGAACTGTTGTTCTAATATTAAATGTAATCAATAAAGATGAAATACAAAAATAAAAAAAAAACTAAGCTAAGGGCTGTATCTTTATAGTCTCTGATGTCTGATCTAGAGGCTCAAACTCTCAAAGATAAAAAAATACAGAACATATAATCATGTAGGAGGCAGGCATTTGATACCTACACTTGGTGATTGCCAAGCCAATCCGGGAGTGATCCCTGAGCACAAGAGCCGGGAGTAGCCCAGGTATACGACCAGGATAGTCCAAGAAAACAAAGCAAAGTAAAACAATCCAATAATCTTATTTGAGAAAATAGTCTTAAAGCAGTTAATTGTTTAGATTCGAGGACTTTGTGTGATGATATCCCTTTGGTCACTATTAAAATATCATATACTGTTCCCTATTCTCAGAGGATGCGCAATGTCATTGCACAGAAACCTGAACTTACATTCCACTAACTTAAGAATGATACTCAATAGCTTTTATACTTACAGATGTTCTTCAAGCTTCTTCTTTAGAAGAACTGACTGAAATGAAAATAAAAAGTTGATTAGTTAACATCAACTATTTATATTTAAATATTAAGAGTACTGAGTGTGCCCCCCCGAAACAAAAACAAAAGCCAAAAATAAAATTAAGAATACAATAATGACTAAGTCTCTGGTTAAAGAATTCAAACCACAAAATGTACTAAAGCTCATTTCTCTTTGATAAGAGAGAAATTAGTATAAAGTACCCCCAAATGAAATACCTGAATCTCTATTTACAGCAAGGGAAATAAAGTCACTTGTGTAGGCCTAGATTCAAAAAAAAACATTACCCCAAGGCTGGAGCAATAGTACAGTGGGTACGGGCTTGCTTTGCAATACAGTCAACCTGAGTTTGATCCCTGGCACCCCAAATGGTCCCCCAAGAGCTTCCAGCAGTGATCCATGAGTGCAGATCCAGGAGTAAGGCCTGAGCACTGCTGGGTGAAGCTCCCAAACAAAAAACGAAACAAAAAATTACCCTGAGATACCTTTAATCTACTATATCGTTTTCTTATAGTTTGGCTCAAATCCCACAAATACTATCAGAAATGTATAAATATGCATAGGTTTGAAATAATTTAGGTAGTAATATGAAAAGGTCAAAGATAGCATATGCACAGAATTTAGTATGTTGGAGAACTTTATTCAAAAAAGTTTCCAGAAAAATCGGATCAGAATTGACATGATTTTCAAAACAGATATAAATAAATAATGTCATTCTTGGGGCCAGAGTGATAGCACAGTAAGCAAAGTCCTTGCCTTGCACGACTGACCAGGTTTGATTCCGAGCATCCCTATGGTTATCCCAGTGGTCAGGAGTGATTCCTGAGCACCACTGGTGTGACCTCCCAAACCAAAAATTAACCCCAAAGAAACAAATAGTGTCATTCTAAAGAGGCGCACTGGGTTTCATAACTAAACTTATGCTTAAACTTGTTTTTCTTTATAGCCTTATATAATAACCAACAAATCAATAACAGCAAAGTATGAACAACAAACTTCTCACATCAAGTTCATAGACTTTTAAAGTCTCTTTATCACAGAGATTTTCATAATGGTCATAGCTCTGTGGTATTCCAAATCCCCTTGACACTCCATATATTGACTATAGCTGTATGAGAGGATCACATGTCATCTATGACCACTTCCCCAAAATATAAAAAGTAATAACCCTTCTTTCTAGGACAGCCTATTCCTTCTTTAGTGAATAAGGTAACTAAAAATACTTTTCATATATTTCAACTTTAATTCTGGTCAGACTCTAAGATTAACTTTGACTCCGGATAGTAACAGGTACTCACTCGATGATGGTGTTACATAGCGGGCACTGCATTAAGGCATGCCACAGTCTCAGTCTCAGGGCAACCTATGAATCTGGAAACAAGATCAGCTTTCCTAATTAGCAGAGGAAGGTGTGACAGGGAGTCATTTAGTGGTCCTCAGTGGCAATGCCCTCGTCTGCTCGCCTAGGCATAGTCTTTCCTACCATGCTCCCTCTACACACTCAGCTATCTCTCCTGTGAAGAATGCTACAATCACAGTGTGTGGTGAGAGGAAGCTAATACAGTGACAGGAAACTAGCTTCAAAATAACTTATAGAAATTAGGTAAAACAGGAATGGCTGGGGAGAAAAATGAGCAGAATTCATTTTAGTTTAAGTTCTTGATATCCTCTTAACATATTCATAAAATAGAAAATAAACATGTAAGTCAAATATTACTGGTAAAATTCATTTCATGTAAGATTCCCATTAAATTACAATGCCATCAAATTATGATGGCAGGTAATATAGATATAAAACTGCTCCATATATAGAAATTAACAGGAAGCAATACTTACTATAGCCTTGAGCAGAAACCATGCCAAGAGACAGAGAAGACATATTAGTATGAAGCAAACACAGCAGCCAATAGAAGGAACGATTTAGTAATTCATAAACAGAAGTAAGAGATACAATTTTTTTAATGTACATTTTTCTTTCTTCTATGATCTCAATATGTCTTGTTCTCTGGAGTTTTATACACTGTGGCTAGCTCAAATTATCCATATCACTGGACATAACAATGCTTTTCTGTTTCCATGCTAAAAATAAATGACATAGAAATAATGAAAATATGCAAATCATGGAATTTTGACTTAAGGACATATGAAAGGATTATACTTTTGAAAATAGAAATATGAAGAAATTATGTTGTTTTTCTGTGGGGAGCAATTTGATTTGGTAAGTTGTCCCCTATACTTCACATATACTTGAGATCCAATAGTGCAGGTTAGTGAAAGACCGAAAACAAAAATGTCAAAAATTTGCTGGGGAAAGAAGTATGTATCTTGCATCACGCTATTTCTCTCAACAATTCTGAGGCAGATCTTCAGAATAAGTAGTTTTGAGACTATCACTAGTAATTTATTTATCACTAGTAATTTAGATGACATCTCATTGGCAACCAGGTTAGTAAATTAACTAATTTATGCAAGGAGCACTTTATAAAACTGACATCTAACTTGTGATATACATCTTTTAAAGTAATGGCATAAGGGATTGGGGAAGTAGCTCAAAGGAATGGAGAGCATCTGCCTTGCAATGTGAGGTCCCAAGTTTGACCTCTGGGACCTTGTGGCTCCCCAAACGCCAGCAGGTCAAGTCCTGGTGGCTCTTAGTAGTGCCCCAACCCTGAAGAGTAGAAGCAGCACTGCAGCCAGACAGTGGATGCTGGCAGGAGCCCCAGGGTGGCCCTGAATACTGTTTGGGAGGGCCCCCTCCAAAGGATAAAGTGCAGGAGAAGAGCATATTCAATTAGATTTAAAGGTTGAAGAGACGGTCCAGGGCTAGCATGCTTTGCCTGCTACCGACTCTCTCAGATAGAGTTCTTCATCCATTACTATACTAATGGTGGATTTGCTTTGTCTCACTGTCATTTAGTGTTCTGTAAAAAAAGCATGCTTAAAAAGTAAAACATAAAATTCCAACAATTCACTTTATTAAGTTACTTTATTACTCTTTAATTAAAATGTTTAGGGGGGTTGTGACTCACACCTGCTGGTGCTGGAAAGCAAGCCCCTCCACCCTACCCTCTCTCTAGCACCATGCATCTCACTGGAAATACACAACTCCGACTGGCTGAAGATCCGTCAGTGAAGTTTAGGTCTCTCCATCATTACACTATCTTTGAGCGTTTTCATAGTTGTAGCTCTACTGTAAATGGCTCATTAGATGTAAGGAATTTGAAACGTGATTTATTTGCACTTTCATCACAAGCACTGTGATAGATGGTGACCATGAAGAAAGGAGAGAGGTGACCGAGCATCTGGTTTAACACATCTGTTATGTCTTTATTCTCGTCTTATTTACGAGCTTTGCCATTACCAGGGCTAAAAGAGATAAATGGAAAGCTAAGGGAATGTATAAAAAGGACAGCGACCTTTATATTTGAGGAGGGTGTAAGTAAGAGGAATTGAGAAATGACAGGATGGCTGTACCCTAAGGATGACATTTTTCCCTCTCTTTTTTTCCTTTTTTGGGTGACCATAACCAGCAATGCTTAATATGGTGACACAGGCCTGATAACTTGGGTGCCAGAGGTCTGTAGCAGAGGATGGGCTGGAATACCATGGATGAATTCAGGGCCTCACCATCCAAGGCACGTATGCTCATGTATGCTCTGCCACGTGTGTTGCCCCCTTGACCCCAGCATTAGCTTTCAAACACAAACATGCAAATAAAAAAAATTCTACTGGGCGTTCGCCTTACAAGCGGCCAACATGGGCGACCCGAGTTCGATTCCTCCGCCCCTCTCGGAGAGCCCGGCAAGCTACCGAGAGTATTCGATATGCCAGACACAGTAACAACAAAGTCTCCAATGGAGACGTTACTGGGCCCGCTCGAGCAAATCAACGATCAACGGGAGGGCCTTTACCTTTACCTTTACCTTTTTATGCTAAATTTGTACCTATCTTCTCATTCATTGTCTAAGTTGAGCACATTTATGCCTCAGTTATCTTATAATCATAAATGAGTTTCTAATTCCCAACAGGAGGAATCGGAAAGTTTGTTTTGTCTTTTTTGTAAGTATCTATAACTATGTTAACTACATACTGTTTTTTAGAGATTGATCGAACAAAAAAGTTACAGCTTTTTTCAGCATTCTAAAACCATTAGGTCATGACTGGCACATAGCAACACTTACATCTTCTGCTTTTGAACCTTGATCCTGTAAAGATTTTTGCAATTCTTCGACTTGTGATTGTACTTCCAGAAGTCTTTGATTCACCAGCCTAGAATCAAATGTATATTAATTTTCAAAGTTCTGACTCATTTTGCCATTTTCCTTAGTTTGTTACATGGGTAAGGGAGAATAATCAGCAAAACAGAGAATCTTATTTTAGTAGTAGTACACTTTTTTCTTTTCATTGATTGAAATTTCTATGATTTCCAACAGTGTATCTGTGATTTTACTGAAGTATTTATTCATGCCCATTTAAAACTCATTTCAATATGTTTATTACACTATTTGTCAGGTACTTTGGTCATCATTTGTTGAAAATTTCTGCATTTGGGTAAGAGATAATACAGAGGTTAGGGAGCTTGCCATGCATACAGTTCACCCAGGTTTGGCCCCAGACACCGCTTATGTCCCTTGAATTCTGGTAGGAGTGATTCCTAAGTGCAGAACCAGGAGAAATACTGAGCACTACCTGTGTAACCCCAAAACCAAAAGCAACAAAATAAAAAAAATTTCTGCATTTGAGGAATTTAGAGGAAAGCAAGATGTAATTAATAAAACATGAGATATGTCTACTTGTGTATACAGTATACAAAGAATACGAAGAACAGGGCCAGAGAAATAGCTCAATGGGCTGAGTATATGCAAGCAGGAAGCTCAGGTTCAATCCCTAGAGCGGCATGTTCTTTGGAGTAGCACCAGGAACTCAGAACAGAGCAGGGAGTGGCCCCTAAGCACTCCCAGATATGGCCCCCAAAACAAAAAACAAACCAAAAAAAGCCAGAACAAAAGGAATAAAAATTACTCAAAAAAAAAAAAACCTCCCAAAAACCCAACTGCATATGAACTGTGTGAAGTCAGAGTCAGTCTGACTTGAACTGAAACTAGAACAATAAATAAAATCACTGAGAATTCAGCAAGTCCCAAGACACAAAGAAAATCAGTAGTGTGTTTGGTAATGATCTGACCGAATAAGAAACGAGAGAACATGGTTAGAAATGCCAACAAGGCTCTGGAAAGAAAGATGGCAGCCGCCTGGGAGCTTTGTGGAAAGCCAGGTATGAGCCGGTCGTGATGGGGTGACTAAAACCTCATGGGAAGGGGGGGCATTCCTGGCTCGTCCTTCATGCCCTACCAAGGTCAGAGTTGCCCCCCCACAAGCGGCTCTCCGGCAAGGCCGTGGCTCCAGAAGCACAAGGACTCAATGCAGAGCCCGGCAGCTTGCAGCAGAAAAGTGAATGGACTATGCGTTAATCCACGCCACCATGCCTGCCCGGAGGGGGAAGGGTGTTGGTCCCTTCCACCTTTTTCCCTCTGGAAAGAAAGATGGCAGCTGCTTGGGAGCTTTGTGGAAAGCCAGGTATGAGCCGGTCGTGATGGGGTGACTGAAGCCTCATGGGAAGGGGGGCGTTACCGGCTCGTCCTTCATGCCCTACCGAGGTCAGAGTTGCCCCCCACAAGTGGCTCTCTGGCCATGGCTCCAGAAGCACAGAAACCAATCTCATAACTATCTGACTCTCAGCAGAAATACTTCCAGGGTTAATAAGTAAAATACCAGAAATCCAAAATCGCGCAACGCTATTTTTGATTCTTGTGACCAGCTGTAGAAAATAAATTATTTCACAATGCCTTTTCAGCATGTGTCATTTGGGGGTGTAAACTCTAAATAATAATGGTGCATCTTTTGTTGAAACAATGAATCTAGTCAAAGTAGATAGAGTGTTAACTAGAAGTCATCTGCCTCACAGGCACTGGAAGGGCTGGGGGGGGGGGTTATTGGGGTTCTTCGTGGTGAAAAATAAGTATTGGTAAAGGGAAATGTGTTTGATATTTGCATGAGACTTAAACCTGAAAGCTTTGTAACTTTTCCCACAGAGATTCAATAAATAAATAAATTTAAAAAAATGCCAACAAGTATTTTAAATTTGTTTTATAATCTGCCATAAATTTTGCTGAAACTGGAAAAACCTAGCCAGCCTTTATCAAAGCTGATAGGTTATTCTCATAAGTTCTCTAGGTTATAAAGATCCATCACTCAAGAGATCAGTTTTGTTCCCCAGGTCCTGGGTATTGCTGAAATCTTAGAATAAAATTTCCAGATTCTTATCACAGCAAATATTAAAAAAAAAATCCAAGACAGTAACTGATATTTCTCACATCAAGGAACAGAAAACTTAAATGCTTTTTCAATAGTAAAAGAATGATCAAGTTATATTCAGGAGCAATAGTACAGTGGTAAGGTGCTTGCCTTGCGTGTGGCCGATAGGGTTCAATCCCTGTCATCTCATATTCCCCGAGTACTTCCAGGAATAATTCCTGAGTGTAGAGCCAGGAGTGACTCCCAAGCAAAGGTCAGGTGTGGCTCCCCCACCCACAACAAAAAGGACATTCAATCTGGAGATGAGATCTAGAAAAATATTACTAGTGACATTGTAAGTTTCTTCAATATTTTCAGAGAGCAATATAGAATTATAGATACTTCTCAAACTATCAAACTATAATTGAAACTAGTTCAAGTACATATCAATCTTAGCCACAGCTGACATGATACAGTTAACAAACATTCTAAGTCTTTTAGGCTGAAGCCACTGTAATTACCATAAAACACCAAGGTGCTCCTGGGAATAAGGAGACTAAGTTAGATGCCCAGGACTGGGAAAGGGATAAATGAACATAGTAATATAATTATTTTAAGTATAAAACCATATAAAGGGATTTTTATTTGCATATACACATATAAAGTTATCTACAAAGTAAGAAGTATAATCCCTACCTCATGGAATTGTTTTACAGAATTATATGTGATAAAATACAGTGTATTCAGCACAGTACAAAGCAGAATTCTATGAATGTGATTTGCTTCTACCTTCTTTGTATCCCCTTCAGGAGTGTAAGTAACATTTCATTCTTGTTTTAATTCTTTTATTATTTTTGGGCCTCACCTAGCAGTGCTCAGGGGCATTTCCTGGTTCTGTGCTCAAGAGTCACCCTTGGTGGTGCTGAGGGGGTGTCAGGGATTGAACTGGGGTTGATCATGGTCACATGCAAGGCAAACACCTTATTTCCAGTACTATCTCTGAGTATACTTAATATTTTAATCAAAGTCTATTTACAGTTCATGGTCAAGGTGTACATAAAATTAGGATGAGTTCAGGTTTGAAACATACTTTGAGAAGAAAGAGGAAAAGACCAGTATATAAATTTTCATTACTGACTGTCTTTTAATCTTTTATTATTGAGGGTCAGAAAGTTATTAAAGGCTAAAGTAACTGGAAGGGCTTTGGAAGTTCATTACAAATCTTGTCTTTAAAAATTATCAGGGCCAAACCACACATGCTAGGGGAAAAGGGAGCTCAGATAGAGAAGGGAACACCAAATAAAGGTGTGGGAGGATCCTCCCAGGATGGGAGAAGCATGCTGAAAGTAGACTATAGACCAAACATGATTTTCACCCATTGCCTCTTCTGCAAACCACAACACCCAATAAGAGAGAGAAAACAAAAGGGAATGCCCTAACACAGAGGCAGGGTGGGATGGGAGGGATGGGGGATGGGAGGGATACTGGGATCTGTGGTGGTGGGAAATGGGCACTGGTGGAGAGATGGATATTTGATCATTGTATAATTGAAAACCAAGCACGAAAATTTGTAAAGTCTACAACTGTATCTCATGATGTCTCACTAATAAAAAAAAAAATTATCAGGGCCAGACAGTACAGCAGGTAAGGCACTTGCCTTACACGTTCTGACTAGGATTCAATTCTCTGTCACAGGATCACAGGCAGTCCCCTGAGACCCGGCAGAAGTGAACCTTGAGTGCAGAGCCAGGAGTAAGCCCTGGCCATCACCAGGTGTGACCAAAAAGCAAAACCAAGTAAGGAAAATAAATAAAACATAGTAAGATGACATCAGGTGGTTAGCAAGCTGCATTTAAAGCTAGGTGACCACGTGGGGTGCCAGAGTTTGAACCGACGCAGGCCGCATGTAAGGTAAGTGTGTTCCCCGCTACACTATCTCTCCATTCAAGAGTTCTCTTGTAATTCTCTAGTTTCAGTCACTATAAAAGGAAAATGGCAGGGTATTGGCATTAATTTGCTTAAAGAGAGAGGAGGCTAGCACATAAATAGAGAAACCATTTTTTCAAAAATCTAACAGACTTCTTTTTTAAAATTAAATGGAATATTTCATTTCATATCTGAGGAACCTAAAATCCAGGGGAAAAGGGAGAACTTGTGCCTATTTGCTGTTATTCCTACCTGTTCTCTGTCTCCAGTTCATTTTTGCGTAGATTTGCATCATCTAGGAGGCTCTGCAATAAGGCAATCTTTTCATTGTCTGACCCCTCTTGGTTAATTTTTAGCATCCTATTCTCATGCTGAAGACGAATAAGTTTCTCCCTGGATAAGCAAAACAAACATTGTTTATCTGGTATATTATCAATACAATATAGCTACTAACACCCAGCTGTGCACAGACACAGAATTAACACACATAATATAAACAACAACAAAAAAAGAGCCTGCAAAAATTCAGCTCTTTTGTAATAGACAATATTATATTTCATATTTTACATGGATGCTTTTAAAAGATTGTTGATCAATTGGCCTAGATTCCAAGCCACAGAAACATAAAGAAATATTTAAAAGAATTGTTTATCATAATATGAGACCGACACCCAAGGACAGTAAACACAAGGGCCAGTAATACTGCCCCATAGTTGGAAGCCCGTTATATAGCTGGGGGAGAAGGCAGCTGGAATAGAGAAGGGGTCACTAAGTCAATGATGGTTGGAGGCATCGCTCAGGATGGGATATGTGTGGTGAAGTCAATAAAGGATAAAAAATGATGGCCTCTCACTAGCTGTACTGCAAAAACCATAGTGCCCAAAAGTAGAGAGAGAGTATGGGGGAAATTGTCTGCCATAGAGGCAGAAGGAGGGCTGGAAAGGGAGCACTGGTGGTAGAGAATGTGTACTGGTGGAGGAATGGGTGTTTGATCATTGTATGACTGAAACTCAAAAACAAAAGCTTGTAACTATCTTATGGTGATACAATTAAAAAAATGTTTATCAATTGGTCTAGATTCTAAGCCATAGAAACGTGAAGAAATATTTACTACTCAATAAATATTAGAAAAAAAAAGTATTGGATAACCTTAAGATGAAAATACTTCAAATATTATTATTTATAATAAGTATGGTTTCAAGATTTTACATTTTTATAGGGAAAATTTATTTTAGTGTTCCAGAATCCAAAAATAATCCACCAAATCATATGAAATAATGCATAAAACTTAAAATACTATTGTCATTTTCAGCAAAAGCAGAAGTGATCTGATGTAAATCCAGAGCCTGTACCAAGTTCCCAGGGAAGGGACATGATGGTATCTCTTATGAGAGTGCGTGCATCAGGCTGTGCTTCTGCACCATGTGGGCCAGGAGGGCTGGGATCACCCCCCACACCTGCAATATCAGACTCGGGGCCTCACACATGTGAAGCACGTGTTCCAGCCCTCTGAGCTAGTCCCTGGCCCTGGCTGCATTGCTTTTCCTCCTGGGGAAGATTTTACATTTTGAACTTAAATATTTTTGCTATGAATGCATTTAAATATCTGTTCTTTGCGTCTCCTCCAAAAACATAATTGATAAAGATATATGCTCTTATATTAACAATCATCTGATGGCAAAACATAATATTTAATGAATTCCTTCAGGAGATACCATCTGCCTATTCCTTTAGATAACTGTATTCTTGCAAAATGTGAAATTATCTGAAGCAAGTTAAGAACTACATTCTTGAGGGCTCTTTGTAACATGTCAAAAGTTTACACTGGTAAAAATTAAAAGCAAGAGACATAAGAAACTTCCTATATTTATGGCAATGATGGTATTAACTATTAATTTATATTAAACATAATTAAAGTTGTACTTGTTGAAGGCACACTTGTGAAAATGTAATAGTCACAGTCATCTTTAAAGGAATATATTACTATGAGACACCAAAATCTATGCTTTTCATAGAAAAAGAAAAAAATAAAATACACGTATACAAAACTGTTCTTACTTTGTCAATACCATATATCTTATAATGTACATTTACTTACGATATTGAAAAGATGAAAGTCATTATTGTGGATATATTTATTATCTATTCCAAGTTAAGAAACAAAATACTAATTTATAACTTCTACCAATAATACTGGGTCTTGATATTGAAAGATAAAAACAGCTTCACAATTTAAATTACAAAGTGTGACATGTTGGGGGTATGGTGCCACCAGCAGGTCAATCTGTACCTGTGAGGCGAGTGCATCAACAGCTTGATGGCGCCTTCAGACTTCCAGATACCCCAAAATTGCTGCTGTGCCTTTGGTTAGACCCCAAAAACTTGGGGCAAAGTTTACCAAGAAAGTAAACTGCCAAAAGGTTAGGTATGTGGGAAACACACCCACAAACCACCGCCGGCTCAGATATATACTTGGAGGCATGGCCTCTCTGGTTCCTGATTGAACTGCTTAATGGCCATGATCCCAGAGATTCAGAAACAAATCTCGAAACTCAGAGGCTTTTGGCAGAAATGCGTCCGGTCCCTGCAGTAGATTACTGGTGCTGGGCCACCGCAGGTGGGAATAGGTTTCATGCCTTGGCCTGTTCCCCTCTGGCGACCCAGTGGCCGCCATCCTCCAGAGGCCACTGGATAGTCAGGTTTGGGCCCGCAGTGACGAGACACGCAGGGCCTCACGGGATGGGGGTGGAGCTGGTCCTGTCCTCCCCACCCCAACAAGACTCCAAGTCACCGTCCATGAACGTCCTTTCTGGCTCCTGATCAAGCTGCTTAACAGCCATGATCGCAGAGACTCAGGAGCAAATCTCGGAACCCAGCAGGTTTTTTGGCAGAAATTCCTCCAGATTTAAGTGTTAAAGTTTCAGACTTTCAAAATCGTGCGGCGACTACTGCAGCCACGCCACATCATATGTTATTTATAACCAGCAATAGAAAACAAATTGTCTTCAATCAGCTAATCAGTGGCTGAATAAATAGCAGCACTCCTACATTTAAAAAAAAAAAAAAAGAAAACAAATTGTCTACTGTTGCCTTTTCAGCAGATCTGAGTGTTGGGGTAAAATCTCAAATAATAATGGTGGGTCTGGTGTCAAAATACTGAATGTGATCAAAGTAGAGAGAGAGTAATGTGGAAATCATCTGCCCCACAGGTAGTGGGAGGGTGTGGGATGAGGGTATACTGGGGTTGTTGGGGGTGGAGAATGGGCAATGGTGAAGGTACAGGTGTTTTATTGTATGACCGAGACTTAGACCCGAAAGCTTTGTAACTGCTCTCACAGAGATTCAATAAATAAAATCATAAAAAATGAAAAAAAAAAAAGCCTTGAAAGAATTGTTGAAATATAATTACCTAATCTTATGGATATATAAATATAGGCAAACATCTAAAATAGTGGCTCAACATGTTACATTAGTGCACATTACATTAGTGTCACTATTCTGCACTAAAATGTTTCCAATCTTTTCATATAATTATTATGCTTTCATATATGTAGATTTGTTTTTGGGTCACACCTGATGATACTCAGGGGTTACTCTTGGCTCTACAACTCAGTAATTATTCCTGGTGGGTTCGAGGAACCATATGGGATGCTGGAGACTGAACCTGCGTCAGCCGAGGCAAATACCCTACCCACTGTACTATCACTCTGGGCCCTACACTTTAATATTTCAAATGACATCTTAAATACAAAGATGAATTGCTAATGTCTAAGTATTTGGTATTTAAACTATCAGCATTTTTTTTGCTACAACCTTTATATCCTTGATTATTCCTTACTACTATTAATATGTATGTTATTTTTAATTGCTAGAAAAAAATTTGGGGGGGGTCAATGGTAGGCACATTTTTTGACAATACATACTTTAGCCAAATGGCTCAAAAGAAAAGTGCATCACTTAAAATATTTTACTCTTAGCGATGAAGTTTCTAATTTCTCCAAATCTTAAACATCAGAGAAAATGATTTGAAATCAATTTTTGAAAATTTGATAAACAAATATCATTATTCATTAAGAAAACTGATCTATTACCTATGACATAGGTCACAAAAATTTCAAAAAATTTTCTATACTAAAATCTTAGTAACAGTTTTAAACCTAGCATATTTTAGTAGCATTTTTTATTTTTTAAATTTTATTTTTTATTTTTTTTTTACTTTTGGGTCATACCTGGCAATGCACAGGGGTCACTCCTGCCTCTGCACTCAGGAATTACCACTGGCGGCGCTCAGGGGACCATATGGAATGCTGGGAATCAAACCCAGGTTGGCACATTAGTTGTGATACTTGGACACAGTTGGTTGGGTGCCCAACTATGCTGTGCCACCCAGAGTGCACTCAGCATAAGAGCAGTGTTCAGAACCTGCCATCTGAAGGGCAAGTGCTCCACCAACTTAGCTCTCCATGGGGACAGGTTGTTGAATCTCATTTTATTTCTTCAATGTTAAGAACCAAGTGAAGATAAAAAAGATTCCTAAAAAATTGTTTCTGAGGGCTGGAGAGACAGTACACACATACACCTGATGCATACAACCAACCCGGATTTGAACCTCGGTAGCTCATAATGTCCCTTGAGCCCTGCCACGAGTGATCCCTGAGTTCAGAGTCAGGAGTAAGCTCTGAGTACTACTGAGTGTGGCCCCAACGTCTACCCCCCTGCCCAAACCTGCTTTTTTGCAAATAATCACTTCATAAGTTAAGTACTCATTCAACAAAATTTACCAGTCTAATTAATTAAGTACCAATTTGGGACTAGGGACATAGCTGAAGTGGTAGAGCACAGGCCATGAATGTGCCAGGCCCTGGCATACAATCCTGGAGTCATGGCTCCTGGGACCAGTAACAGAAAGACCAAAGGTTCAGATGATGTTTCTAGAGTTGCTTTTTTCTTGTTTATCCTCACTAGCAACTTCCGACAAGAATACAATTGTCTCCACTTATTCAACAAGTACTGCATACTGAGGCTTTTACAGTTTATTATTGTTAGTTTTGGTTTTGGGGCAACACAGGTGGTGCTCATCACTTACTCTTGCTCTGCACTCTGGAATCACTCCTGGTAGTGCTAGTGAGACCATATGGGATGCTGGGGATTGAACCTGGTTCAACTGCATACAAGGCAAACACCCTATGCACTGTACTATTGCTCCAGCCCCAGATTATGAAACTCGTATACAACTATTACTTTAGTAGTTTAAGAGTTTATGGAACTCCCATACAACTATTACTGTTAATAGTTGCATGGGAGTTTCATAAACTTTTAAACTATTAATAGAATTTTAGAAACTATTTTTAGAATTTTAGAAGTATCAAGGCTACTATCAAATGAAAGAAGAGCAAATAGGCCCAAATAAGGCAAAAGTAATATTCAGGATTAATCATTCTCCTTCTGCTGAACACTTTGTGCCACTTCAAAAATTTTGCACTCTTACCCATATCTAAAGCAAGTATGTATTTAAATAAATGGAACTTTAAAAACACTATGACTTAAAAAAATATAAAGTCTTATAGGGGGGAAAGTAGAAGATAGGGTGACAGTTCTTTTTCACTGCATTGGATTTTTCCCAGGTCAATTCCCGGACTCATCAAAAATGATCATCTTTGTTTCGGCATCAGAGGTTCCCTTACTGGAATCTACTGTGATGCAAAGCATGGGTATACCGGGTGCTGTGTACGCATGAAACGACAGTGTTCCCACAATGCTGAAGACAAAGTCTCAACTAAGCCAACTGAAGAAAGCTTCTAACAGTCAAAACATAAAACAGCTTCTATAAAATAAGCATTTTATGCTTATGCTAGTGATAAATGAATTTATACTGTAGGGGAGTAAGTTTTCTCTGGGAATATTGTGCAGTGTGATTATGAATGCTGTTATATCCTTACCTGATTTCAGGTGTGACAATCTCTGCCGCCAGACTATCTGAAGATTCCTGGCTGCCCAGAGGCATGAGCCCTATGAATACGAAAATATGAAAGCAAGGTTATATATCTCCCTCAGTTTCTATATGAAATCTACTTTGAGCATTAATTTTAAAGGTAAAACTGCTCAAGTAAAATAAATTGGAGCGATAGCACAGCGGTAGGGCGTTCGCCTTACAAGCGGCCAACATGGCCGACCCGAGTTCGATTCCTCTGCCCCTCTCGGAGAGCCCGGCAAGCTACCGAGAGTATTCGATATGCCAGACACAGTAACAACAAAGTCTCCAATGGAGACGTTACTGGGCCCGCTCGAGCAAATTGACGATCAACGGGAGGGCCTTTACCTTTACCTTACCTTACTATTTATTCATTCAGTCATCTCCCCGACAAATTCTGGGGTCACTACTAGTATCTCTTGACTGTGTTGGACAGTCTACTGCTAGGGCCCAGTGGAACTGTGCTATGTGGGCACAATAGGGCCAAGGGCGAAACTCAAGTCTCTGCATACACTTGCTCCTGAGCTTCCTCACTAGCCCTTTTAAGGCATTTTAGTATAGGATCTATTCCCAAAACCATTTTTATCACCCATACCATAAATTCTATAACTAGTAAGCAATTCTTTTCTCCTTTGCCTTTCCTTTCTCTTATGCCCTGGTAATCTATACTTTCTGTCTCTATAAATGTGCCTATTTTACATACTTCGTGTAAGTCACTGTTGTTGTCACTGTCCTCCCATTGTTCATCAATTTGCTCGAGCGGGCCCAGTAACATTGTGAGACTTGTTGTTACTGTGTTTGGCATATTAAATACGTCATGGGGAGCCTGCCAGGCTTTGCCGTGTGGATGAGATACTCTCAGTAGCTTGTAGGGAATCTCCAAGAGGGGTGGAGTAATTGAAGGAGGAGGAATCAACTCATGTAAGTAAAATTATATAATATTTTCCATTTGTATCTGGCTTACTTTATTTAATATTCTGAAGATATTTTAATGAAGGAATTATCCATTTTTGTGTTGATGTAATATTACAACTGTTTCCATCTTTTGGCTCACATTGCTCTTGGGATGGATGTTGTTATAATCTGATAGAGTCCTTATTTTGAATTTTTGGGAGCATATACTTAAGAATCGCTGAGTCAAATGGCACTTTATGCTAAAATTTTGGAAGAATCACTGAATACTTCATAGTGGCTGCTACAGTTGCTAGATGTGTGTGTGTGTGTGCGTGCGTGCGCGCGCGCACGCGTGTGTGTGTGTGTGTGTGTGTGTGTGTCTGTGTGTAACTGGAAGTACAGCCAGGGTTGCTCAGAGTCTACTCCTGGCTCTGTGCTTAGCTATCACTCCTGGAGGTGCTCAGAGGCTCATGAAATGCTGGGCATCCTGGGTTGGCTGCTTGTATGGCCGGTGCCTTAATCCCTGTGCTAACTCTCCAGCTCCCATCTGACATGCACCTGGTGCTGTTCAGACCATGTGGTGCCGGAAATTGACTACAAGTACCATGACTGCTGTATTATCTCTAGGTCCCATTTTTTATTCTTATCAGCAATGCACAGGAGTCTAATCACAATTTTGTTAGATATTTCTAAATTGCTTTTTTTCTGCAACAAGTGATCCTAAATGGTGTATTTTGCTATGATTCTGATTTTCATTTTTTAATGACTATTAATGTTCATCATATCTTTATGTGTTTATCAATAATTTGCATATGTTCCTTAAGGAAATATTTATTCAACCCCTTCACCTGGTTGTGAACTATTAAGTTTAGTGTCAAGTTTGCTGACTTCTCATTAAGAATGGTGCTACAGGGACAGAGCGATAATACAGTGGGGAGGGCATTTGCCTTGCACACGGCTGACCCAGGTTCAATTCCCATATGGTGCCCTGAGCACTCCCAGGAGTGATTTCTAAGTGCAGAGCCAGGATTAAGCCCTGAGATCACCAGGTGTGATCCAATCCCGCTCTTGAAAAAAAATCCCCCGCCCAAAATAAATAAATAAAAGAGCAAGAGAATACAGTGGGTACAGCACTTTTTAATTTTTTTTAAATGAAAACTGAAAATTTACTGGTAAGTAGCAGAAGAGAAAGAAACTCCCCAGCAGGGGCGGAACTTAGTATAGGACTAAGTTTATAAGGCACTTTCTTTGTATGCAGCTGATGTGAGTTTAATCTCCGGCACCACAATAGGGTCCCCTGAGCAACATCAGTAATGATTCCTGAGCAAGAGCCAGGAGAAAGTCTTAAGCTAGGTGTGGCCCCCAAACTAAAGAAAATAATGGTCACCTAAATTGAAAATGACACAAAATGCATCTTTTAATGTCAGGCATATATGTATACTTCGATCATTTTAATGATTATAGTATACAGTTAAATGACAGTCATGCCTATCCCCTTGGAGGGGAGCAGGTTGAGTTTCCTCCCCGCCCCGACCAGGGCTCCGGCAGCTGAAGACCTCCAGAACCAGCCACCACCATGCTGAGACCACTCTCCACATGCATGAAGGTACTGGCAGAGGAACAAAGGCATGCGGATCTTGGGGCTGAGATCTCCAAGCCTGCTTGAATTGGGGCTGAGCATACTCCACCCAGATCCTCCATTTTCCAGTAGGCAGGGGTCACACCCACCAACTGGCCTCCAGGCGCCGTGTAATCCCATCAACGGCCAAGACCCAGAGACTATAAAACCCAGCTCCCGGAAGCGTGCGGCTGCATTTGCAGCCACGCGACATCTTATTATCTCAGTCTTTGGACAAACTGGCAGGCTACTGAATGTAACCTGCCCACACGGCAGAGTCTGGCAAACTCCCTGTGGCGTACCCAATATGCGAAATACCAGTAACAATGATGGGTCTCATTCTCCTAACCCTGAATGAGCTTTGATATGGCACTTAAAAAAAAAATCTCAGGGCTAGGACGAAGGAGATGTTATTGTGGCCTGCTCGAGGCAATCGATGAACAACAGGATGGTTGTGATCGTGATCATCGTGCCTATCCTGAACTGAATTTCAGATGCCTTCTATATTTATAATTACAGATATCAATTCTGTTTAAAATTCTACGGCAAGCTACCGGGAGTATCTCGCCCGCACAGAAGAGCCTGGCAAGCTACCTATGATGTATTCGATATGCCAAACACAGTAACAACAAAGTCTCCAATGGAGACGTTACTGGGCCCGCTCGAGCAAATCAATGAACAATGGGAGGACAGTGATGGTGATTTATAATTCAGTAAGTGTTGTGAGTAAAATATGCATAAAGAAGGTTCAAACTAGAGGAGGAGAAAGGCTCAAAGGGTTAGGAACGAACTGAGGAAGCAGCTCGGCAGTGGAGCACTCACCTTGCATGTGGGAGGCCCGAGGTTTGGGCCCTGGTGCAGTAAAAAACCAAAAGCCAAAAAACAAAATAGCAAGATAGTGGTGATGAGAACACAGACTGACACAGATGCTCAGGAAACAAGAAACTGAGGTCAGAGGGACACTATCAACAGAGACAGCAAAGTGGAGATTAAAGGTGAGACTCAGTAAGAGTCCATGACAGTGCAATAGGCTGCACACATGCTGTGTGCCAGGCTCTGGTTCAGGCTCTGGCACGTGGTGCCCAAAGTACTGCCGGGAGCGAAGCCCCAGTACAACTGGGTATGTTTCCCCCAAAGAAAATAAAACAACAAAATATAAAGACATGAAAAAAAAAATAAAGGTGAAACAAAGTGAGTCAGTAGATTTGGAAGGAGAATGAAGAGGGGGAAAGATCTCAGTAAAAAAGGAAGAAAAATTCCTTTGTGGTAACTGAAAAGCCTAGGGTCAGTTACTAGAGCAAGAGGGAACAAACTGCAGTCTGTTTTTAAACTGCTGTTACCAGTTCAGTGATCAGACTCAATAGAAATTTAGACAATTTAATAAATAACAATTTAATAAATTCAGACAATTTAACAGTTCTCCAGCCTCCCCCAACACCATGACAGAATGTGCCAAAGGGTAAAACTTAAGCTAAGGGTTGCTCTTTTTTTTTTTTTTTTTTGAGGGAACTTGGGGTGGGTGGGCTACACCCAACATACTCAGGGGTTACTTATCATAAATGGGAGAAGTTCCAGGATAGTCAGGGAGTGGAGAGGGCACAGAGTGGGCCTGCGTGGATGCAAGTTTGGTACCAGCAGACCACCTTTGAAATTTCCTTTCTCTCTTTTTGCCTTTCAGGTCACACTGGTGTCTCAGGATTTAGCTCCAGCTCTGCACTCGGATATCACTTGGTGGTGCATGGGAACCATACAGGTTGTGAGAATCAGACCCAGGCTCGCTATGTGCATGGCAAGGACCACTGTATTATCTTTCCGGTTTCCCCCACCTTTAAATTTTCATCTATTGATGCAGTCATCTTTAAAAAAATCTAATGTTTGTAAGAAATACTATTGCATGGACTGTGAAACTCTCTCTACCTTGAGTAGTAAGCTGGCCTTCCTGAGCCTGCACGCAGCGGAGTTCTTCAATGGTCTCCTTCAGAGAATCCCTCTCTGTTCTGAGTCTCTGCAGGGACATCGGAGCAAGAGAGTTAGCTTCGAATATCTGAGCTTTTATCCATCACAGATTCTCACTTTGCCAGCGACAGACATAAAAGGAAAACAGTTCACCTCCCCATTTAACAAACCTGAATATCCAAGGCAGCAATACTATTTACAATGAAACAGAAGAAACAGTCTGCTGAGTTTTTAAAGAAAAGTACATATTACACCAAATAAGAATTTTTATTAAACATAAAATCAAACATGATTCAGATCAAATTTAATTTTTTTACAAGATTCAAAATTCGCTGAAACAAAAATGTCCTCTGTAGAAAACAGAAAAATGACAGTTTATGTGGAGACAAATCAGAAACAACGTAAAAGAAATAGCAGTAAACAGAGAAGGTAAATATAATAGAAATTAGAGCTGGAGCAATAGTACAGCAGTTAGGGTGCTTGCTTTGCAAGCAATCCACTAGGGTTCAATCCCTGGCGTCCCAGGGTCCACCGAACCCTCCTGCTATCAGGAGTGATCCCTGATAGCAGAGCCAGGAGAAAGCCCTGAGCACCACCTGGTGTGGTTCAAAAACAACACACACACACACACACACACACACACACACACACACACACACACGAAATTAGTATAGAAGTCAAAACATTCTTTTAATCTGTTAGAACTATTTCTGAAACACAAAAGTAAACCTGTAATTTAAGCAGATCTCTAATTTTTAAAGTTATGAGAATTAATGTAGTACAATATGATTATCTTAATTTTCTGAATCAAAATACTGCATATATACTTACATCCTTTTCTTTTTGAAGACTGTCAACTTTTTCTTTTAGACGTTTATATTCAAAATCTAATTTATCTGCTTTCTTTGATTCTTCAGATAATCTATTTTGCAGTTCTACTACCTAATAAAAAAGGTACCGTTAACTTTTATAAATTGAAACATTAAAAATTATCAGTCAATTTTTTACTTATAATTTTATAAATCTGTGAAAACTCACTCCCCAAAAATATTTTAAGAAAAGGTATATGACATAACAACCCAGTTAAGATAACTAATCACAAAAATCTACCCAGATTCTGAGTTATAAAACCAGACCATCCCAAATAAGGTAAAGGTAAAGGTAAAGGCCCTCCCGTTGATCGTTGATTTGCTCGAGCGGGCCCAGTAACGTCTCCATTGGAGACTTTGTTGTTACTGTGTTTGGCATATCGAATACTCTCGGTAGCTTGCCGGGCTCTCCGAGAGGGGCGGAGGAATCGAACTTGGGTCGGCCATATTGGCCACTTGTAAGGTGAACACCCTACCGCTGTGCTATCGCTCCAGCCCCCAAATAACTATGTTTAAAATTATTTTAAAAGAACACGGGACTTTGATTTATTTATTATACTCATAATGAGGCACTGAATATACTGAAACTTTTTCCATAAAGAAAAAGAAATATAACTGGGGAAAAGGACAATCTGCAACTTTTAAAAACTAGTGTCAGAAATTTGTGTGAAGTATTGTGAGGGGCCAACTTCCAAAGCAAAGAACACAGAGCTCTGATTTCTAGGGGAGGGAGGAACAGTATATGGTGGGTTCTCAGTATTGCTGTACTTCTGGGGTCCACTCCTGGGAATACTGGACCATCAGTGCAGGTCTCAAGGTTCAGTGCTCAGACCAGTGGTGTTCCATAGGGCCATCAAGTGCATACCCTCTGGTGTTTGGGGATGAGCTGTGGAACTCAAGCAGGTGAGGCATATAACATGTAAGGCATGCACTGGGCCCTTAAAGCTCTCTGCTAAGACCCAGAGCTGGTAACAGGGAACCGACAAAGGCTGTTACAGTACCTTGGACTCTAAAAGATAGTTGGCAAGAACCTAGCAATGTAAACTTTAGCATAAGTGAAATACACATCATCTGGAGGAAAACAAATCTCAGCCCAGGGCCTCAGAATTCCGAAATAAAAGATAAGTCAAATGAAAGACCAAACTCCAAAATAACAAAAGCCATTAACAAGAAATAAGCGGTCAAAAAAACAAAGGTCAATAGTGAATTAACATCAACATAAACAAGATAGTGGAATAAGGTCTCCCTGGATTTCACAATGAATCACCAGAAATTAATATTAGATTTAATATTTAAAGAAAATAAGGAAATATATCTAAATTATAAAATAAATAAGAGATCATTAAAATGATCAGAGAGAAAAAGAAATAAAAAAATACAGGTTTGAAAGGTCAACTCCAGAGGCTGGAGTGATAGTACAGCACGTAGGGCATTTGCCTTGCACATGGCCGACCCAGGTTTGATCCCCGGCATCCCATATGGATCCTTGAGCATCACCAGCAGTAATTCCTGAAAGCAGAGTCAGGAGTAACCCCTGACAAACACCAAGTGTGACCCAAAAAGGAAAAAAAAGAAAAAAAAGAAAAAAAATCCCAAGAGAACTTGCAGAAAGAAAAATAATATTGAAAAATAAAGTCTACTAGACTTCAAAATCAGTAAAGTGTCACTGTCACTGTCCTCCCATTGTTCATCGATTTTGCTCGAGGGGGCCCAGTAATGTCTCCATTGTGAAAATTGTTAGTGTGTTTGGTATACTGAATACGTCATGGGTAGCTTGCCAGGCTTTGCTGTGCGGGTGAGATACTCTTGGTAGCTTGCCGGGCTCTCCAAGAGGGGCGGAGGAATCAAACTTGGGTCAGCCATGTTGGCCACTTGCAAGGCAAACAAACGCCCTACCCGCTGTGCTATGGCTCCAGCCCAGTAAAGTGTATTTTGCAATTTTAGTTCATATTTCTAGGTCTAGATTTCTTTTTACTACTTTACTTGTAATTTCACTGTTAATACCAAATCTGATTTTCTTCATTAGTTCTGACAAATGTTCAGGAAAAAATTTTTTCCTAAAATTATGTCTTTCTACTATTCTACAATCTAATTACATAATTTCTCATTTTAATTTAATGCCTTTCAAACTGACTTATGGTTTCTCTGGACTCCATTTATTTTGGGTAATTTCTCTGTCTACACAAAAAGCTCATTAATTCCCTTGACTCTGTGGCATTTTAAAATTTGTACTCAAATGTTGGAAAAAATATAGCCAACAAAAGAATCTTACCAGCCACGTACAATTTACAGGGCTGTTCTACTATGAGGGCAGTCTCTAATTTTATTAAGATAAAGTCAACTCATTAATTTTGATAGCAAATCAGGTAAATATAAGATAGCCTCAGGTGAATCATAGAGCAAATATTCTAAGTAAAATGAACAAAAGCAATTTTGATAACAATGCATAAATAAATCAAGTCATCAAGCTAAGCTTATCTTTAGAAATATAAGGATGGTTTAAGCATAGAGTGCTCATTAACACAATTCATACTGATAATAGAAAGTACCAGCAGCACCATAGTAAGGGGATAATAAATGGCCAGAAACAACAAAATCTAAGAATTGGTCTAAGGAACAGAGCTTTTGGGATTGGAGTGACAGTACAGTGGGTGGGACATTCGCTTTGCCTGTATTCAACCTAGGTTTGATTCCTCGTACCATATTTAGTCCTCTGAGCGCCACTGTGAGTGATCCCTGAGTATAGAACCAGGAGTAAACCGTGAGGAAGGCTGAGTGTGGCCCATAACAACAAAAATAAATAAAAAAGAACCCCCCAAACAAAACAGCTGCCTACTATTACTGCTTCTTTTGGAAACATTGAAGATCAGGCATGGTTATTTAGAAAGAAAGAAAGATGGCCAGAGAGAGTACAGGAGGTAGGGTGCTTGCCCTGCATGTGGCTGACCCTAGGATGAATCCCTGCCACCCCAAATGGTTCCCTGAGCACTGTGCCAGGAGTTATCCCAAGTACAGGACCATGATTAAATTCTGAGTATCACCAGGTATGGGTTACAAACAAAAACAAAAACAAAAAAACAAAACTGCTTTTATTTGAATAGTTTATACCTGAGAAGGTAATCTGCAAAATATGAAGAAATCTGACAATATTATAGAATCAACATGTAAGAATCCTTTAAACAAATCATTTCAACAAGCAACTAACTGCAAATGTTATCAAATTGCAAAGCAGTGCTCAGAGTGTACTCCTGCTCTGTGCTCAAGCATTACTCAGGTAGAACTGAAGAGACTGAACTATATGGTACCCAGGACTGAACTGCAGTTAGTTCAAGGCAAGTGCTTTTATCTCTAGACTATCTCTCCAGCCATGAATATGTGAACTTTTTTGATTTTTTGGCCACACCCAGTTCGGTAGTCAAGGGAGCATGCGGCACTAGGAATGACTCCAGGGCCTTGCACAGGTCTTCTACTACTGAACCACATTCCCGATGTCTAGAATGCACGTGACATGAAACCAGGGAAGGGAAAACAGCAGCTTTGATGATAATGGTGATGGTTTAGAGCACATGCTTTGCATGCAGAAGCACTGGGCTCATTCCCTGACACTACATGATCCTCCAAGCACGGCTGTGAGGAAACCCCAAGCTGTGCTGGGTGCATCTCTAAAATCAAAACCAACCAAGTCATTAGGTTTTGAACAAGTCAATGTCAAAATGAAGAGCCTAATTGGAAAGACTGAAAAGCTTTGTCACTACTGTTTTTACCTGTCTCTTGTATGTCTCAAGTTGACTTCGAGCTGCATTGGCTTTTCTTAACTCTTCCTCTAGACTGACAGTGTTCTGCATGTACATAGTATTCTTCTCTTCTAAGAGTTTGACTTGCCGTCTCAAATCACCAAGATCTTCTAACTTCTTTTTATATGATTCCACTTGACCTTCTAGTTTAGACACTTTATCAGAAGAATGTCTAAAGTGAGACCAAAAATAAAAACTCAGAAACATACCCACAGTTGTAACGCTGTTTTAAACAAGTGATAAATCAAGAGGGATTGCAAGGAAATTTTCAATGAAATTATAATTTTTTTGCTTAGGTTAAAAATGCATGGCAGAGCCTGGCAAGCTCCCTGTGGCATATTCAATATGCGAAAAACAGTAACAATAACGGGTCTCATTCCCCTGACCCTGGAAGAGACTCTGATATTGCACCATTTGGAAGGATGAGAAGGAGAGGCTGCTAAAATCTCAGGGCTGGGATGAATAGAATGTTACTGGAGCCTGCTCAAGCAAATCGATGAACAATGGAATGACAGTGGCAGTGATACAGTAATACAGGTTAAAAATATGACTAGGGGAAAACAGCGCAGAGTCTCTTTTTTTTAACATGAGAGAGACTTAAACAGCACATGTATGGTAAGAAGAGTAAAATAATTGATGTAACATTATTCCTGCTTAGATAAGAAGGGTTAAGACTCAGAGAACTGAAGAAGGAATTATACTGGCCACGAGAAAAAAAATAACAAGAACCCATTCCATAAACAAAAAGATAAGATGGCTGGGGAAGCAGGAAGGTTCCAAGTCACATCATTCATGGTTTCTGTCATCTATGCAGTAGGCGATAGGGCAGCTTACTACAACAGAAGCATGGAAGGTTGCATTGTGGGGGTAATCATTCTTGTCAGAAGAGTTACAGAAGTTTGTAACACCCATGAAAGGATGGGAAACAAGAACAGGATGGTAGAGCTGTGGTAAGTGACTTTCTCAGTATTCTAAAAGCAAAAGTGCAAAATACAAACAGTTGAAATGATCAATAGTGGGCACAAGGGTATGCAAGCAGTGGAACTGTAGATAAATAAGGAGGTGAGACTGAATCATTTGGGGAGGCAAGACTCAACAAGGAAATGAGGCCATGTGAGGAATAGCTGCATTTGTGAAAAAGGAAGATAATGTGACCAGGGTGGGGGCTCAATGAATATTAAGAAAGAAAGTGCTACACTTACTTGCATATGAACATATATTTGAGTAACATTTATTTGCCAGACATTGATCTTAGGATCTTAGGGTTGACAATATGAACTCAGTTTTGTATAAAAACCTGAGCTAGGTATGTGTATTGTTTCCATCTTAAAGAGAAGATAATTATTTCAACAGAGGTAAATAAGTGGGAGCACTTGGATTTGAACTCAGGTCTAGCTCTTTAATACTTTGCTATGTTCAATAACCTAGGGTACTCTTTTTTCAGAGTTGGTGGTAAGCAGCCCCCGTCCCCACATAGCAGGCACCGGAACAATCCAGGGGGATGAAGACAACTTCCGATGCAACTGGAGGGTGCTGATAGCTCACTTAAAGAAGTGAGAGTTTCAAGGGGGGCAATGAGTGATTTTTTTTTTTCCTTCCCTGAAAACAAAGTGAAGGGACAAATCAATTTGGGAACCTCTGTCCTAGATTATGTAACATTGGTGGCAAAAGTCTTGGGGCTGGGGTGACTACAGGCCTGGGATTCTTGTGATGATTAAATTGTTTACCTAAGAACATCTATTTCATCTTTTAGTGACTGAGCCTCATCTGCCAAAGTTGTCAGTTCATCATTCTGCTGACGAAGCTCAGATATTTCCTTTTCTAACTCTTCACAGCGTATTCGATAGTCATCTTTGGCTGCTTCCAACCTGTAACCAAACCAAAACAAAGAAAATTTATTTATAGTCTAATAGTTCTCTTTAGAATAGTGTAAGAAAACTTGAGGACGATAATAAACTCTCTTGAATATGCCATTATTTTGTGACCATGAATGTGTTTCCAAGTCTTACTTATCTTGAAAATGGGTCTCACTACCTGCTAAACTTGAGGGAATATAAATCTTCTTTTTTTTAACTTTTTGGGTCAGACCCGGCAATGCACTGGGGTTACTCCTGACTCCATATTCAGGAATTACTCCTGTTGGTGCTCACTCAGAGGACCATATGGGATGCTGGGAATCGAACCTGGGTTGGCCATGTGCAAGGCCACTGTGCTATCGCTCCTGCCCCAAGGCGGGGGGCGGGGGGGGGATATAAATCTTAAAGGCCATTAAGTGCTAAAACAAAACAAAACAAAAAACCAACCTAGAAGATATGACACAATAAAAATGAGGCAGAAGCATTGTCTGAAAATGCTTCTAAAACCTCCCGGCTTTTAGACCACATCTGGTGACACTCAGGGACCACATGCAATGCTGGGGATAAACTGGGGTAAGCCTTATGATACAAAAGGACCTTTCTCCACCCCCCCCAACCACATCATCTCTCGGGTCCCCATACCGATTCTAAAACAGTAACGATGCATATGAAGGGTTTTCAAAAGTTCAGTATTGCAGGACCTCTCTATACCTGTCCTCGTTTTTGTTGCACGGCTGTGATTTATTGTACTGTTAGTGATAGTTTCATGCGTACATCATTCCAATACCATACCCTGAGCAGACACAATACCGATGATTCTCTCCACCAATGTCACAAAGACCCCTTCCATACCAAATCCCCCTAAACTCAGTTTTGTGACAAGATTCCCTGTTATGATGCTTTTGGCCATTTATTGTTCCCTTACTATCTTGACTCTAATCCCACATGTGAGATCTTTTTTTGACTGCAGAATAGTGAAGACTATATACATATAGAAGAATAAAGCTGGGGGCTGGAGCGATAGCACAGTGGGTAGGGCATTTGCCTTGCACGCAGCCAACATGGCCGACATGGGTTCGATTCCCAGCATCCCATATGGTACCCCGAGCACCGCCAGGAGTAATTCCTGAGTGCATGAGCCAGGAGTGAACCCTGAGCATCACCGGGTGTGACCCAAAAGGCAAAAAAAAAAAAAAAAAAAAAAAAAAAAGAAAAAAAAAAGAATAAAGCTAAATTTATAAAATTCCACAATTGAATTAAAATGACTAATTCAAAGAAGTGTTCAGATAGTACTTATCTACCAGTATTCATCAAAATTAAAATGTATTTATAGTTAACGATTATAAGAAACCATTATTTTTATCTTAAAGACAACATTCTGCTATAAAAATATTTTTCTAAAACAAAAAAACATAAGAGTGGCAAACTTCTACAATTTTGTGATTCATAACCTGATTGAATAAAAGGCAGCTGTATTTTCTTATCTGCTCCTACTTCTGTTCAAAGCTTTAAATTTGGCTTAAATTGATGAAGGGAATTCAGCCTTGCACAGACACATAGATGGGAAAAAGAAGCCTTTACATACTCTATGGAAGCATCTCAGTGATCCTGCAGTGGTTCTTAGGCCATTCTTGAACTACTGATATACACTATATAAATGATCACTTAAAAAACTTTTTTTAAGATAATTTTTTAATTAAAAAATTTTTTTTAAATTAAAGAGCCATGATTTACAAAGTTACTGGTAGTTGCGTTTTAGGCATACAATAATTCAACACCAGTCCTTCCATCAGTGTTCCCAGATTCCCTCCTTACCCCAACTTGTCAACCTGACAGGCATACCAAGTTTCAGTGGCTGCTACTTAGATCTCAGCTTTCAGTTTTGTTAAATGTGTGTTTTGGATACATGACTATATCCCTCTCTCACATCACTCGGAAATTGAAGCCCTGATGACTGTTCACCCACCACTTCTCTTCCTCTTCTTCCCCCACTTGATTTCTTTCCTTCTCTCTGTGTTTCCTCTCTAAACACTGGGGCCAAGGGTTATCTTAGCATCCACCTTTACTACAGTATATCTCCTCATCCAGAATTCTATATTCCCCAGATAAGTGAGATCATCTTGTGTTTGCCTTTCTTCTGGCTTACTTCATTCAACGTATCTTCTAGTTCCACGTGGCAGCAAACTGCATGATTTCATTGCATAGTATTCCATTGTGCATGTATACCACAGCTTCACAATCCATTCATCTGCCACTGCCATCTAGGTTGACTCTTTATTTTAGCTATTGCACTGGGTGAACCACTGAGTAATGGTGTGCATATATCCTTTTGAATGAAATATTTTTCTGTCCTGGGGGTAGATGGCCCAAAGTAGAGTTGCTGGGTCAGATGGCAGCTCAATTCTTAGTTTACTGAGAACTCTCCATACTGTTTTTCACAGGGATTGTACTAGACAATATTCTGACCAGCACTGGATGACAGTTTCTTTTTCACCACATCCCTACCAACACTATTTTTGATATGTATAATTTTCAATGGTGTGAGATGTTACTTTACTATCATCTTGATTTGGATTTCTCTGATGATAATTGATGCTGAGCATCTTTTTCATGGGTCTACTGGCCATCTGCCTGCCTTCCTCTGAGAAGTGTCTATTAATTTCTTCTCCCCATTTGTTGACAAGGTTTTTGAATTTTTGGGGGTTGATTTTTGCAAGTACTTTATATATCCTGGATATCAAATCTTTATCTGATGTGTTGAATGCAAATATATTTTTCCCATTCAGTTAGCTGTCTCTTAGTTTTAGCCTGTGGTTTATTTATTTAGTTATTTATTTTTGCCACGCAGAAGCTTTTTAACTTTATGTAGTCCCATCTGTTTATTTTTTATTTTGTTGACTTTGCCAGTGACATCAGATCATTGCAGTCAACTGTGAGGTTCAAATCTTGAAGTGTTCTGTCTATATTTAAGGACGGCTATTTTGTTAGGTTTTTGATATTAAATTTTGTGTTAAGACAAAAAAAAATCCAGAAGCACTTTACTGAAAAATAATTAAGAAAAGGAGATATCATCATATTAATCTTTTCTGATAAAGTAAAAACCGAATTGATACTTAATTTTTCTTCCATTTTTTTTTTGGGTTTCCCTTTGATGCTGGTGGCTCAGGGGCCACACCATACTGGGTCTCCAGAAGGACTAAGAGTTCTGTGTTCAGACTGAGCACTGTAGGGTTACCAGGGACAGTGGTGTTCAAGGAGTACAAGGGTCAGACAGACTGGTGCTCTAGAGGCCATAAGTTGCTGAGGACAGACCTCAGGGCTCTCAGCATGGACGATGTGCTCTAACCATCTAACCTATCTCCTCATCCCCACTGTCTAAATAGCACCTCAGATGATCTTCCAAGTCCACCAGGAGTGATCTCTGAGCACAATGCCGGAAGTGAGCCCTGAGCATTGCTAAGTGTGGCCCAAAACCAAACAAAAATATTAAGGAAACATATTAAAATGAAGTAGTGACACTACTTCCACTACCCAGCCGTCGCCACACTCCAGGACGCTTTCCGGACCCGTGCGGCAGCTCCGGCCGAGACCCACGCACAACTGAAGACCCACAGAACAAGGTAAGTGGAACTCTCCGAGACCTTGGACTCCAGGCTCGGCGGACCCAGGGACAGAGCTTCTCTGCTTGCTCCCACCACCACAGGTGACAAAGGGATTCTAATCAGGAGCCCCACCCTACCCTGCCCTGTCTGCTTCCATCAACCACCCAGGGATCGAATTGTGCACAGGAGACTCACCCTACCCAGATAAATACCCCACTGGCAGATTTCCACTCTCGACACTACTTCCACTACCCAGCCGTCGCCACACTCCAGGACGCTTTCTGGACCCGCGCGGCCGCGCGACACATCATAAGACACTAAATACCCATCTTCTGGAATTGTCATACCATATTTGATAGGGTTCAAATATGGAACCCTATCAAATATGGTAACACCTACAAGGGTGATTAGAGGTCACCCCAAAAGCCTCTATACCTCTCGGAAAGACTGGCAAGCTACCGAGAGTATTCCGCCCGCACGGAAGAGCCTGGCAAGCTATCCGCTGTGTATTCGATATGCCAAAACCAGTAACTACAACTGGTCTCATTCACCTGACCCTGAAGGCTTCACCGACATGGCAGCACTGAGAAGGATGAGAAAGGAGAGGCCGACAAAATCTCAAGGCCGACCTAGGCTGCCACAACAAAGGAAGACAAAAATGATCGTCTGTACTTTCAATGCACATACGCTAGCATCAGATGCATCCATCGAGGACCTGATGGTACAAGCGCGAATGATCAAGTACGACATCATTGGTCTGACCGAGACAAGAAGGCACGAATCTCACCATGCCGTTTTCGACACTGGAGAAGAACTGTTCCTCGGAACATGCGATAAAAGAGGTGTTGGAGGCGTCGGTGTCCTTGTCAACACAAACTTGGCCAAGAGCATTGATTCATTCGAATGCCTAACAACCCGAATCGGACGTTTACATTTGAATAGATGTGGCTCACTGCCTGCAGTTTCTATCTTCGTTGTCTACGCACCAACATCTCATTATGATTGATGAAAGAGAAATCGAGAAGTTCTACATGGAGCTAGAGAAGTTCTATAAAGAAGACCACACCTTCTACAAGATCATTGTGGGTGATTTTAATGCCAAGATAGGACCGAGAAGATCAGCTGAAGAACTTCACATCGGGACCCATGGCCTAGAATGGAACGAACAGGGTGAGAGACTGAGTTCATCATGTCGACCAAGACCATTCATGGTAACTCACAGTTCCAGAAGGCAGAATCTAAACGATGGACATGGGAGTCTCCCGGTGGACGATTCCACAATGAAATAGACCACATCATATTCAATCGACGGTTTTGCCTGACTGATGTCGCTGTTGTCCCAAAATTTCGAACGGGATCGGACCACCGTCTCCTTCGTGCAAAATTCTACTTCACAGAGCGGGGAGAAAGGGCTGCAAAGTTCAAAAAGAGAACTCCCAGAATGACCACCAACTGGGAACTCTTTGGTACTATTGCGGCAACATGGGAAGATGCCATTGTTGACAACATTGACGAGGAATACGATCGACTGGTTCAGCACCTCCATGAATGTGCGAGGAACGCCAAGAGAGAGATAGCCACAAAAAGTCGCCTATCTTCGAAAACTCTTGAGCTAATTCGCCAGCGTGGTTTGGCGCATGCCTCAGGCAACCGCAAGCTAACGTCCGAGCTTGCAAAGCAGTGCAGAGATGCGATCAAGGAAGACCTCAAAGAGAGAAGAGCAGAAGTACTGATAGATGCGGCAGAAGCCGGGAAAAGTATTCGTAACGCCCGCCTGTCCTTCGCCAACTATAAGACCAAGATGACTGCCCTCCGACGTCCTGATGGATCCATCACATCCTCCAGAATGGCAATGGAGAAGATTATCCATGACTTCTACTCAAATCTCTTCGATAGCCATGTCCACTTGCTGACATACCAAATTCCACAGGATGGGTATGTCATTCCTAACGTTCTCCCTTCCGAAATCCGACACGCCATTTCGTTGGTAAAGAAGCAAACAGCACCCGGTCCAGACAAGGTCAGACCTGAACACCTGAAGAACCTGCCGTCAGTACTCATCAATACACTGGCTCGGCTCTTCACTCGCTACCTGTCTGAATGCAAGGTTCCGTCCCAATGGAAAATCAGCAGGACCGTACTACTGTTCAAGAAGGGAGACATCCATGACATTGGCAACTATCGCCCGATCTGCCTATTGTCTGTCATCTACAAGCTGTTCACTCGAGTCATCCTGAATAGGATTGGCAGAACACTAGATGAAGGACAACCATGCGAGCAAGCAGGGTTCCGCAAAGGATTCAGCACCATCGACCATATCCACACGGTAACCAAGCTCATTGAGGTTTCTCGGGAGTTCAAGATGCCGCTCTGCTTAACGTTCATTGATTTAAAGAAGGCCTTTGATTCTGTTGAGACGGAAGCGGTCATTGAAGCCCTAGCCAATCAGGGCATTCAAGCCCAATACATCAGGATCCTCCGTGAGCTGTATTGCGGTTTCACTACCAGGATCTCACCATTCTACAAAGAAGTGATCGTTGATGTCAAGAGAGGGGTGCGGCAGGGTGATACCATTTCACCGAAACTCTTCAGTGCCACCCTCGAGAACATCATGCGACAACTGGAATGGGAAGGAATGGGAGTGAAGATAGATGGTCGGCAACTACACCACCTCCGCTTTGCTGATGACATTGTTTTAATAACACCAAACATCAGCCAAGCGGCACAAATGCTGGCCGACTTTGACCGTGAGTGTGGAAAGGTAGGACTACAGCTGAATCTTACGAAGACAATGTTTATGAGAAACAGCCTTGTTCCTGACGCCCCATTTGCTCTCAATGGAACGACCATCTCCGAATGCAACAGCTATGTCTACCTAGGTCGAGAGGTCAACATGAGAAATGACCTGGCACCCGAGCTGCGCAGGAGGAAGAGAGCGGCTTGGAACGCCTTCAAGAACGTCGAAGAAATAGCTAAGAGGACGAAGAACCTCCGGCTCCGGGCACATCTCTTTGATTCCACTGTTCTTCCTGCATTGACATGTGCCTCAGAGACCTGGGCCCTACGCAAGCAAGATGAGAACGCCATTCAGGTCTCCCAAAGAAGAATAGAAAGAGCTATGCTTGGAATAACACGTTTCACTCAAATGAGAGAACGAATCCGGAGTTCTGACATCCGTCGACGATCAAGGATCAGGGACGCTGTCTCATATGCCAAGGTATCGAAAATCAGATGGGCTGGTCACGTAATGAGATTTAAAGACGACCGTTGGACTAGAGCTGTTACTGATTGGATTCCACGGGATGTCAAGAGACCGCGTGTCCGCCCACCTACCAGATGGTCAGACTTCTTTGTCAAGATCATGAACGATCGGTTTGAGGCCCTCCATATTCCCGGAGCGAAGAGATGCCATTGGGCTACACTAGCACGCGACAGGGACAAATGGAGACGTTACTGGCGCCCGCTCGAGCAAATCGACGACTAACGGGAAGTTAAGTGATTTTAAGTGAAGTGATTAAAATGAAAGATAAATGTCATACGATCATTTCAATAGAAGCAGAGAAAGCATTTGAGAAGATTCAGCACCTATTTATGGCAAATCCCTCAACAAAATGAAGAATTAACCTCTAAATAGTGAAAGTCATACACAACAAACCCACAGGCAATATTATATTTTTTAAAAATTTAAAAAAAAATTTTATTGAATCACCATGAGATAGTAGCAGTATTATACTTAATAGGAAACAACTGAAAGCCTTTCTTCTAAGATCAGGCAAAAGAAAGGAATGCCCACCTTCATCACTATTATTTGCATGGTATTATTAGAAATCTCAGGCACAGCAATAATAGAGAAATTGAAGTTATCCAAATTGGTAATGAAGAATCCAAACTATCACTATTCATAGTTGACATGATACAGTATCGTACACAGAAAAATTCTAAAAATGACTCTTACTGTTTTAACACCAGATATTTTGGGTTATTTGAGAAATAGGTCATAATACGGTAATAGAATAATAAATATAATTTGTTCTGATTTAAGTCCTTCCAGGTTATGCTTTTGCTTTGCAGCACACCAAATTCTAATTTTTTTCCTTTCCCTTTCACTATTCAATTGCCAAAAATTCTTCGTTCCTCTTGGTCTTTCCTCTCCCTTATGATGTATTTACAAGTCTGTTCCATTGAAGCAAGTTTGCCCTTTAAATAAGACTGAGCCATAATCATGCACTCAGTATTACTATGTGTCTATTTTCATCTTGTGTCTAGGACAGGATCAGATCAATTACTTTAAATCTCTCTATGATGTCCCTTTAAGAAAATTTACTTTAGGGACAAGGTAGTTCAAAGGGTTGGAGGTCCAGATTCAGTCCTCAGAAGATGTGGTCTCCTTGAGCAAACCTGAGATTCCCAAGCACCAAAGCAGCTCATGAGTACTCCCCAGTATGGCTAAAAATCTAAAAATAAATAAATATATAATATTCTAAAATATGTGGTATAATTTTTGTTTTAAAATATCATATTTTGAGCAAATTTATTCTTTCTCCTGAGCATTCCCACTCTCAGTTCTGAGTGTTTCACTGTTTTGTTTTCTCATCTTTCTTTCCATTTCCTTTCCTTTTTCTTTTGTTTTTGATTTTGGGCCATACTGAGTAGTGCTCAGGGCTTACTCCTAGCTTGATGCTCAGGGATCACTCCTGGTAGGACCTGGGGGACAATATGTACTGCTGAGGATTGATCCGGGTCAGACACACGCAAGGCAAGCACCCTACTCAACTGTACTATTGCTTTGGCCCCTTCCTCATTTTCTTATTTTTAAGCACCTGCCAGAATGTGAGTGGGGCTATTGTTTGTTTTCTTTCTTTTACTCAAAGTTAAATTTCATTAAGCCATTCTGTCGCGTGAAATACTGAAAGTATAGCTTTGATAGAATTTTTTCTACTTGTGAAGTTATTTGATGTCATGTGGAAATTGTTATTATTTTGTTGTTGATTACACATCTTTCTTGATTTGCAGCTACCCTGACTTATTATATTCTTTTGAGGGGTGGGTGGGTAGGAGTGTTGGGTCGTCCTAACACTTAGGTGCTAATTCTGGCTCTGTGATCAAGGACCATATGGAGTTTTGGGGATAGAACTGGGATGGTAGAGACGTAAGGCAGCACCTTAACTGAGATATCACTATCTCTCTGGCATGCAACACAATATTAATTTTAACATTTTAATTGCTTAAGAATACAATGTTATTATTTATTTATTTATCTATCTATCTTTAAAGAACTAGGTTTTAGTAAGAAGCTTTTTTTCCCCCTTTTACCTGAATGTTTCTTCCTGAAGTTGCTCTAATTGAGTCTGGAGCTGCAGGTGCCTTCTGCCTGCTGGACTATTAGGATCTTCTATAGAATCAGATTGATTGAGTCTTTCCATTAATATCTGATTCTCTGCCAGCAGACTACTTTTCTCCTCTTGCAACGCTGCAACCTGTTAGAATACAGAAGACAGCTATTATTTCTTCCCTCTCCAACATTACTGCAATCATTAATGAATTATTATGAGCGAAAAGCGTACTTTTAAAGTAGTATAGTTAACTTCTACCTCTCGGTAGAACTTTACAAAAGCAGAGCAGTATGTATGAATAGCAATGGGGCTGAAGAGAGAGATGCATAGGCTGGAACTCGTTACCCATGCAGTACATCCAGGTTAGATACCTGGCACACCAATCCTGCCTGAGCACCTTCAGGAGCACTTCCTGAGTACTATGCTGGGAGGAGTCCCTAAACATCACTGTGGAGTTGTCCCCCAAACAAAAAAGAGTAAACAAGAATTCAGTATTTTATGCCTGAAATTACAGTTCACCAAAGAATATATACATATCAGACCAAAGAGACAGCTCAAAAGGCTGGAAGCACTGCAGAATATATACATCAGACCAAAGACACAGCTCAAAAGGCTGGAACTCATGCTTCCCATGCAGGAAGCCATGGGTCAATTCTGGTTTTGCATGGTCCCCTGAACACCACTGGGGGTGATGTCTGAGCACCGAGTTGAACTGGAAGTAGCTGCTGAGAACCACTGAGGGGGTGGGTAGAAGGAGGGGAGAGAGGAGAGAGGAGAGAAAGAGAGAGAGGAGAGAGAAAGAAAGCGAGACACACACAGAGAGATAGAGATATAGATGGTGGGGGGGGTAGGTAACTATTAGGAATACTCAAAACCCACAAATTATCTAAAGAAATGGAAATTAAAAATATGTTATACCAACACACTTCCACTTGAATGACTAAAATGATAAAGACTGGATGCACCAAGAAGTAGAACAAATGGAGTTCTCACATATTTCTGGTGAAAATGTTAAATGTTTCAATCACTTTTGAAAAAAGGTTTGTGTTTTAAGAAACTGAATATACAACTTCCACATGACCTAAATATTCTTAGTTTTCCTAAAAAAGCTCAATTTGTGATCAAGGAAAAAAAAAAATCAAAAAACAACACAAATGATCATTAGAATATAAAACTATTTAGCAATAAAAAAAAGACGACTATTGGCTCTGGCCCAGACCTAGCAATGTTGATGGGCTATTCCTGGATCTGAGCTTGGGAGCTGTTTCCTTTAGTGCTCATGTGGTGCCAGGGAATGAAGCCAGGCCTCCCACATGCAAAGCCTGTGGCTCAGTCCTGAGTTACCTCTACCCCCAAGGATTAGCTATTTGTACCAACAACATGAATGAATCTTGAAATAATAAAAGAAACCAGACCAAAGAAAGATTATACACTGAACGATTCCTCTTATATATAATTTTAGAAGCTACAAATTAATCTACATGAGAGATTATAAAGAAACATGAGAAAACTTAAGAGGGTCATGAATTATACTGATTGTTGTGATAGTTCACAGGTTTATATTTACATCAATCAAAAAGCATCACAATTATACACCTTAAAATATCTAATGTAGTTGCACTGCATGTCAAATGCATATAATAAAGGTATGGAAACAAAAGTTGCTGCCATTCCTGATGCTGACTTCTGCATCCTGCCCCTCTTGTCCTAGTTGGGCTATGGGCCCTACCATTCCAGCAGGCTGGACACACTGCCACTCCCATCTGTCAATAGGAGACACTACTCAGGATCTCCTTTTACTGTGATTTTTTTACTTGGCCTCCAGGGCTTGCGAGCCCCGCTCTGTATGATCAGTTTTTCTGTTTCCTTAGTCAATCACTGGATTACTCCACAGCTTCTTGAACACTGTGGTGCCTTGTAGCTCCATAACTGATGGAAACACCATAAGTTCACTGACAACTTGCACATTTCTATTTCTAGCCTGGAACCTGGACTGGGTATCATTTCCACTTGGATGTCTAACAAGGCCTCTGAAATTTAAACTGCCCGAGTGAACATCTAATTACTCCCACCCTCAATCTTTCCAGTCTTCTTGTCAGTAAAAGGTAACTCTATCTTTTCAGTTGCTCAGTCAGTCCCTATGTCTTTCCCTTGCCCATATCTACTCTGTCAGCAATTATAGCTGCTGTCTTCTACCACAGTTTGATCAATTCTTACCACCTTCATATTCTAAGCCAACCTAGTTTTCACTTGGATTACTATAATGACCTTACTACTTAATCCGCCACTTCCTTTTAGTCTATTCTACTAAAATTTAATTTGACTGCTATGTCATAAATTAAAACAAAGTTCATACCACATGACCACTTTGTTCAAAATCCCCCAACAGCTTCTATAAAGGCTGGCAAAGGCTTCATAAAAATGTTCTCTTCCCACGCTCCCTTCTACTCCTGGCCTCCTCATCTTCCTGTTCCTGAATACATCAGTCACATGCACTCCTAGGTCCTTTGTATGTAGCCATAATGCTCTTACTGTGAAAATCTGAGAGGCTTGTTCCCTTAATCTCTATAGAACTGTACTAACACATCACCTTTCTTGGTTAACTATCCACTTAAAGCTGGTAAAAGTGCCGGCACTGAGAAAAGAAACAGGTGATGAGTTTGATCCCGGATGCCATAAACAAGCACCAGAGCACAGTCCCAGTGGCTCTGCCACCTGACACTCCTGATTCCATACCAGTGTGTGCAATTCTTGATGCACAATCAGGTGAACACAAGCACAAGCAAAAAGTGTGAGCACTGAATCTAGGAGTGTGACTCCCAGCAAACAAGAGAGCACCACAGTGAACCCAGGGAGCACTGTACCCTGGTAACATGTGAGTGCCACAATGAAATCAGCATGTGTCCAAAGCACATCTAAGTGTGCAATTTCTGGTCATTTCACCACTCAGCAGCAAAGGTCCAGGGAAGTAATACACAAACACCGCACCTACACCCCTAAAAACATAATTTTCCATATACCTTATCCTACCTTATTTATCTCTAAAATATTTACCATCACATAACAACCTATATATAATTTTGGCAACCAAACCATTTATTTTTCCTGACTGGGAGAGTGGGGTCACTGAGGCAGTGGAATCAACCATAGAGCTAAAAAGCCTGACTTTTACGACCTATTTTTTTAGACTATAAGCACCATGGGGGAGGGGGTGGCAGAGATATTTATGTTTCTTTCTCTTTGTCTTTATTTCTCTGGGGCAAGTACTCAAATCTGTCATGTAGCATGAAAACAGTATTATTATAATAAAGTTTATTTACAATAACTGAGGGCAAGCTGTAGTTTACTAATTCCAGTGTATCAACTTTCATTTTACAATATAAACAAAGATAGCATTTATTACCCCGCTCAGCATTTATGCAAAGCCTAACATCTGAAAACATGATAACTAGGCATATATTTATATAAAATGTATGCTACAATTACATTCCTCTTATATGCGTCCATTTAAATGACTAAGTCCAATATCTTTATTTACCTTTATTTATTTATACTGAGTCACACTTGATGGTGCTCCAGGGTCAGTCCTGTGGTGTGGGGCCTATGTGGTGCTGGACACTAAACCTGGATCAACTGAGTGCAAGGCATAGGTCCTATCCACTGTACCACTGCTCTGGACCCTTTAGATACAACATTTTCACTAACTTCACCAAATCAGTGAATAATAAAGATAACTGGATGCCATGTTCTCAAGGGGTCCACAGTGTATCAATAAGCTGTCTTTGAGAAAACAAAAAGGTCTAAACAAAAAAAGACCCAACTCTATCTTTCATTTTTGGCAAAAACCCTTGAATGGGAATGTAGCCAAAGTAAGTCTCTGTAGTGGATAGCAGAGCTGACCGGGCTTAACTGTGTTCATAGATAGTCATGGTTTCACAGCAGCCCTCTGTCACACTGGCAATACTCTGGTACTCTGTGACAGCAGCCTCCTCTACTCATCCCTACAGTAATCCTGACCTCTGCATTCTTTACTCCTTTTCTCCACTCAGCACTTCTCCAATTGCTTTTTGGTTCTCTGAGGTTGAAGACTGTGTGCTGCTGCTGGCTATAACCAAGCTGACTTGTGGGCTGTGTGTCAAACTATTAATAATTTGAAGTTGGGCAGGTTAAGAGTACTATATTCTAGAAATGGCAAACACTACAAATGGGCGCATTAAAAAAGCTCTGCCCTTCCTTCCAAGAGCTAGTTTATTTGCGCACCATAAAGTCTATACATGCTAATACCCCTCCTCAGACTCTATTTCTCCTCTTCCCTCAAATTCAAAGCAATAAAGTGTTAATTTATTTGTTGTATTTTTAAGGGGCTGCTAGAAGAAGCAATAAGCTTTGCTCAGTCTACTGTCTTTAATGAGAAATTTGTTTTTTTTCTCTTAATATGGGCAGCATTATAATCAAATTGTATTGTAGGGCAGTATCTAGCACATTTGGAGGTATTTAAGAGGTGCATTTCGAACCAGGGGCACACAGAATAGATTTCTTACCTGCATATCCAACTCATGGCATCTCTGAGCAATTTCCTCCTTTGCTGACAAAGCTTCATTGAGCTCCTCTGTCGTTTTCTTCAACTGGTTGGAAACAGGTATAATAAACTTTTCAACATGAAATGGCAAAATCAGTGATCATATATATGCTATGAAAATTAAAACATCTCTCTGTGGGACAGGGATTAATCGAGAACTTAAGACATTAAGAGCTCTTCTGTAAAAAAATGAAGGCACTTCTAGTTTTATTACTTTATTACTGAGTCTTTTTCTGTACTTTAAATTTGGTCTTCATAGCAAATTTTCTTGCACATCTATCTGGGCTACTTCATTCTTGGCAATATATGTATCAGCTACAGGAACAGGGCTAGCGGGCTGGAGATAAAAGGTGCTTGCTTTGTAGAGGCTGACCTCAGTCTGACTGCCAGCACTGCATGGTCCCCAGAGCACAGAGTCAGTAACCTCTCCCCCACTGCCATCCCCTAACATAACTATTCGGCGAGTTTATTTCAACATTTTTTTTTTTTTGGTACATGTGTGTGGTGGCAGGGATAAAATCCAGAGACTCACACATGTAATTCAGACTATACAACTCACTTCACATCCTGGCAGTCATTTAAAATTATAGGTCAAGGTTGAAGAGATAGCATTGAGGCACATGTCTTGCATCTAACTCACCCCACTAGTTGTAACCCTGCAGGTCCTCACCATGGCTATACATTGAGCGGGTGGCCCGGGAAATCTCTTGTGCCACAGGTACTGAGTAACAGTGCATGCTCACGCTCTCACATCAAATGTCTAGTGAAGTCACTGAGAACTGCCAGGATTAAATTCTGATGCTAAGTCTATCCCCCAACACAAGATTGTTTTTTAATTGCTAATTTTTTAAAATCAATGTTTAAAACTAAGAAATTGTTTTGATTTCCAACTCAAATATCCCCAAGGTATGCCCCATTATTGTATTAACTCTAATAATAAAACTGTACACCATACTGTAGTAATTATAAAAAAAAAGTCGATTAAAAATACTGGCTTTTATCCATGTGACAAGCCTTCATGCAATTAGGCTTGCTCTTCAAGCCCAAGTTCTTTAAATATGACTCTCAATTGCTTGTCTCTATGTATCTTTGCTTGCTTGCTTTTACACACTCTAGAGAAGTTGAATTCTTTCTTAAAGATGTACTTCTCTTTCTTATCCTTACATCTAAGTAAGTTTCAATAAAAACTATCTTGCTTCACACACACACACACACACACACACACGCACACGCACACGCACACACACACAGCAGTAATCACACCTACAAAGTAATTTTGTGATTAAAACCCAAAACATATATAGCGAAGTTCTTTAAAACTAGTCTTCAGACAGATATGTAGTATAGCAGGTTGGGTGCTCGCTTTCTAATGCAGCCAAGCAGGTCATCCCATATGGCCCCCGAATCTGCCAGGAGTGATTCCTAAGTACAGACCCAGGAGTAACCCCTAAGCAGCACTGGGTGTGGCCTCCAAACAAAAACAACAGCAGCAAGAACAAAAAACAGTCTTTTGTAGGTGCAGTTAAGTATTTGATTGCTCATTCTTTACAAGATATAGTATCTTTTGTATTATAAATAATTCATATGGTTAAAAGTCCGTGACATTTTCTAGGAGTGCAGCTATGCTGTTAAATGTGACATATAGAAAAAGAATCAAATTGAAAAAGAAAAATCCTGACTACAAAATATAAGTTATAATGAGTGAAAATGTGTTATTTTTTTTAGGGAAAGGATATAACTCAAGAGTAGATTAATGACTAACAAGTATGAGATCCTGAGTTATAAACCCAGCACCCTCCTGCCCCCACCCCCAAAGAAAAAATCCAGGCTGCGAAGATGGCTCCAAGGATTCGAGTATTACCACCTGAAATATTCTTTTCAATAATATCTAATGAGTACCTTTCCATCACATCATACAGCAAAATTAGATACCTGGCGATCAAGGTCAACATAGGCATCGTTTCCAGCAGAGACGGGAGATTCTTTACTCATCAGCTGAAATTCAAATTTAAATGATTATAATCATGAGGTTAAAGACAATGAAAATTAATATTTAATCACTACAGAATAAAAAAAGAATATAAATGAATGCTTTATGCATAAATTTTTTGTTTAAAGTTTTGTGGTTTTTACTCTAAAATAATGCCTTCTAGGAGGGGGGTATATTGGGGTTCTTGGTGGTGAAAAATGGGTACTGGTGAAGGGAAAGGTGTTTGATCATTGTATGACCGAGACTTAGACTTTGTAACTTTTCCCACAGTGATTCAATAAATAAATATAAGAAAAAATAAATGAATAAATAAAATTATGAAAAAAAAGTAAGATGGAGTTCATGCCCAATTCAATCAGCTAATGAGTGACTGAATAAATAGCAGTACTCCTACATAAAAAAAAAAATAAATAAAATAATGCCTTCACTTAATAACTACAGGTGCAAATTCTGCCGTGCGGGCGAGATACTCTCGGTAGCTTGCCGGGCTCTCTGAGAGGGGCAGAGGAATCGAACTCGGGTCGGCCATGTTGGCCACTTGTAAGGCAAATGCCCTACCGCTGTGCTATCGTGTAAAAACTGACTTTTCAGTTAAGAAAAAAGTAATGCTAATAACTATTTCTAAAGAGTAAATGTGGATATCAATATCAGTCAAAATTAACAGTTTCACACACATTCACACACCTTAGACACACACCCCCTTAGTTAGCATCACACTCATGTGAGGGTAGTAATAGGATATAAAGTTCTAATTGTGACAAATGTCTGGGCAGGCTATAATAGTTTCAGTGTTCTATTTCTTTCTCATGTTCTATCTGAAGGAGAAAAGAGAGGAACAATTAGATATGTTCTAATCATGTCCTTCAAGTCTTTCTCATACTCACTAGAGTTATGTTCACCTGTAGTACATTTTTCCCCTATATCAAGAAGTACCCACGCCAACAACAGTATCAGCAATGCCTGGAAATGTGCCAGAAATGCAAATACTTGACTATCAGCTCCCGTTCACTTAAGCCCAACAATCTATATAACAAGCCCTCTCAGATGATTCTGGCAAAGCTCGAGGACCACTGCTCTATGCTGTAATGACAACTGGAGGACCCTTAGCATGATTAAGGTGGGGGCGGGGAGAACAGAGGAAACGAAAACGCAGTGGCTTCAATTAGTATGCTTTTATTGTTAACGTATTAATGAGATTTTAAAAGTCTTTTCTTCAAATTAAAAAAAAAACTAGGTAAGACAAAACTCAGAACAAATATTAGGAGGAAAAGAATTTAACTCCCTAGAAATAATCACTTGCATGATTTTGCATATTTGTTAAATTAAATATCTGAAGCTTCCTGTGGCTAATTTAAACAGTTCAAGAAAGATAAATTTAATATTTTGACAGAATATCTGGAGTGTACATCTAATTCAGAGCCTTTGTAAACAGAAGAGAATGTACTTATTTTCCTCCAGTTTTCCCCCTTTCTATTGTTAGTTTAGTCCTTAATAACACACAACCTCTGAGTAAAACTTTAGATGTCCTGAAGAAAACCCCTTTCTAAGACCTCCCCTTCAATGATTTTAGTATGTCTGTTCCTTCATTTCCTCAGAAATCTAGACCAGATACCTCTCAGTTCTTCCTGTGTTTCAGTTTGAGCTTGTCATTTTATTTTTTTATGTAGGAGTACTGCTATGTATTCAGCCACTGATTAGCTGATTGAATTTTGCATGAACTCCACCTTACTTTTTTTTTCATTTTTATAATTTTATTTATTGAATCACCGTGAGAGCAGTTACAAAGCTTTCGGGTCTAAGTCTCGGTCATACAATAAAACACCCATACCTTCACCAGTGCCCATTCTCCACCCCCAACAACACCAGTATATCCCCATCCCACACCCTCCCCCTACCTGTGGGGCAGATGATTTCCACATTACTCTCTCTCTACTTTGATCACATTCAGTATTTTGACACCAGACCCACCATTATTATTTGAGATTTTACCTCAACACTCAGATCTGCTGAAAAGGCAACAGTAGACAATTTGTGTTCTATTGCTGGTTATCAGTAACATATGATGTCGCATGGCTGCAGTATTCTCGCCTGGGTTGGCGCAGCACCGGTAATATACTGCAGGGACTGGACACATTTCTACCTAAAGCCGCTGGTTTCCAAGATTCGTTTCTGTAACCCACTGCAGGAACAGGACACATTTTTGCCAAAAGCCTTTGGGTTCCGAGATTTGTTTCTGAGTCTCTGGGATCATGGCCGTTAAGCAGTTCAATCAGGAACCAGAGAGGCCATGCCGGAGGTGGTTTGTGGGTGTGTTTCCCACATACCTAAATTTTGGCCATTTACTTTCTTGGTGAACTTTGCCCTAAGTTTTTGGGGTCTGGCTAAAGGCACAGCAACAATTTTGGGGTATCTGAAAGTCTGACATTGCCATCAGGCTGCTGATACAATAGCCTCACAGGTACAGATTGACCTGCTGGTGGCAGCATACCCCCGCGAGCCTGTCATTCTTATGGACACTTTTTGCCCTTTCAATAGACTTTATAGTGAACATTATTTGTCTACTGAAGCCCACTCTTTTCTTTGGTACCACACCTCTGATTTTTGCAAATCTCCCCCTTCCTACTTTAACTTTTATCATTTGTTTAGTTACCTTCTCTTTCATAGATATCATGGCCTAGCACTTTGATGGCTTTTGTCAATATACTCTCAGTTCTTCTCATACCTTTATTCATTTTTCCTGAAAAAATCTCAAATGGAGATTAACAGAATAGATTATTCTGATCATAGAGCCTGACTTCTAAATACTGAGAGTAAACAAATTAAAGTTTTCGGGGCCGGAGTGATAGTATAGCACGTAGGACGTTTGCCTTGCACACAGCTCACCAGGTTAGATTTCCAGCATCCCACAATCACTGCCAGGAGCAATTTCTGAATAGTAACACCTGAATATCGCAGGGTGGATGTGGACACCTCCTGTCCCCAGTATTTTTTAAGGTTCAAAGCAAGTTTCAACCTCAACTAGTCTGTCAAACTAGCCTCCAAAGTTTCTTTATTCCCTTTAGAGGTTATCCAGGCCTGTCTTATTTCTTAAAGCTTGCTAATTCTCCCACACTCATCAGAAAACTTTACTACCAAGATAAGAATGTTCCCAATTCCTAAATCTTTAAACTAGTAACAATTGGGCCGACCTCTTCATTTCTCACTTATGTAACTGGGAGAATTAAAAATAAACTCAAATACTTGTATTCTTAGATTCACAGCAGTATTAATCACATTGGCCAAAAGAGAAAACAACTCAAATGTCTATCAACTGATAAATGGATAAATAACACATGGTAGATACAAAATATCGTTTAGTCTAGCTACATCCGATGAGCAGAGAGCCAGGAGTAACCAACTACCACAGGGTTTGACCCCAAACCACTTCAACCCCCCCACCCAAAAAGCTCTGACTTATGCTTCTTAGGGTCTCCATATCCTTAAAATGTCTCCTATGTCAAGTACAACTTTCATTAAGTAAAGGCATAGGCCTTTCTTATATCCCTTCCCCCTTTCCATTTTAACGCAAATATTCACTTAGAATGCTCTGGATATGATTGGGATTGGAAACTCATTTTCAGTCAATAAGAAACCAGTAAGTTGTGAGAGGCAAACAGCTAAGAAGATACCACAGTGGAATTTATAAGAGCTTTCAAAGCCACTCTACTTTTCATTCATTAGGACATTTACAAATACTGGGAAAAAATATTTTTTATATTTTAGGTATATTGAGGGCTTAAATAAAAATAAGCATGGGGGCTAGAAAAACAGTACAGCAGGTATGGTGCTTGCCTTGCATGCAGGTGACTCAAATTCTAAGCCCAGCATGCGATATGGTTCTATGAGCCCTGCCAGGAGTGATCACTGAGCACAGAGCCCTGAGCATAGCCAGATGTGGGCTCAAACGAAACACTAATAACAAGCATAATGGGTACATTTTATTTTTTTGCTTTTTGTTTCACACCTGGTGATGCACAAGGGTTACTCCTGCCTTATGCCCTCAGGAATTACTCCCGGTGGTGCTTGGGGGATCATATGAGATGCTGGGAATTGAACCTGGGCTAGTTGCATGCAAGACAAACGCCTTACCCACTGTGCTATCGCTCCAGGCCCCATAATGGATAATTTTAAAAAATTAGATCAAATATCTTAAAAAATTTCAAAATATGAGAAAAATGCTTATTTTATCTAAAATCAGGTTTATTCCTTTAATTTTTCACAAACTAAAAGTACAAAGTCTCAACATACCTCTTGAATGGCTGTCATCACAACATGTTGAACAGATTCCTCCATCATCATAATGGCTTGGATATACTCTGAAAATGAGAATAATCTGAAATGTCACTGTCCAAGATAATGATAGTCATGAATTTTTATAAGCACTTTCATTCCAGAAATTTCCTATACATGGTTTTATAAAATGAATGTATGTATATAAATATATTTATTTATATTAACTATAAACACATATTTACATATATGAAATATATATACAAACACTCTAAGTAAAGGCTGAAAAATCACATCACAGTTTTCATCTTTCCTTACGGAAATTTCCTCCATTACCATTTTGCATAAAATAGTTGAGACTACAGACAAAAGAATGCAAGACTACAGAAATGCAAAACAATTAATTGGTAAAATATTAAATGAAGAAGACTTCATATTACTATGTTTGCTACATGTTAAGAAACACTGAAGTTGGCATTTTATTCTTACATAACACCAAAGCACTAAATTATATCTAATTCCTACCATAATATTTTCTATTACAGAAACAAAAAACTTAGTGAACCTGCAAGCTGCTTCAGACAAAAAACTATGATGGAAATAAGATAGAAATCAACAGTACAGCTAATACTGTATAAACAGAGATTTAAAATGATGACCTATATTCTAATAATCTAAGACATCAAAGACATCATTCTTATCCCCACCCATTGGCAATAAAGAAGAAAGATCTCATGTTAGGTGTGGCAAAACTGGAAATAAAAATTCTTTGTCTTTTGAATAAAACAACAAACACTATCCTCCCGTTGTTCATCAATTTTGCTCGAGCGGGCCCATTTTGAGACTTTTTATTACTGTGTTTGGCATATCGATACTCTCAGTAGCTTGCCGGGCTCTCTGAGAGGGGCAGAGGAATTGAACCTGGCTCAGCCGGGCTGGCTATGCACAAGGCAAATGCCCTACTGCTGTGCTATCGCTCCACAGTCTTTTGAAAAGTTCTAAAAAAGCGTTTATTATCTTAAAATGCAACACTGGATTTTTAAAAAAGTGGTACTAGGCATTTAAAAAAAAAGCCACCTGAATGTCAACAAATATGGTTAAAAAAAAAAGTTTATCAGAAAAGAAAATTTAGCTTAAATCTGCCTCTTTCCAGCCTTTCATATACTCACCAACAACAAAACAAAAGACTAAGAAATTGTCTTTAGCACTCTAAGTAATATGTTGAGGGGTGTTATTGTTTTGGCAAGAGTATCTTATATTTAGAATGTCAAACTACAACCCTTTGCTTGACAGTAAACTGTTCTGCCTTTTTCAAAAAAGAATGACAGCATTGCTCACCAGTACCATCCTGGTGGTTAATGACAAAGCTTTTAGTTAATAAAGCCACTTTTTAAATGATGTATAGTCCTAAGATTATCTGTACCAGATCAAATATGCAGTGATACATAAAAATATATATTCTATACTTAAATCATAAACATGGTACTAAGCCCACAGTAGGAATATAACTATTTTATTTAAAAAAGAATTCCTCTAGCCTGAGCTCAATGTTTGTTACGTTAATGAGAAATAGCCTGAGTATATGAGTAAGCAAGGTGTATTTTAAGATATTCTATTCAAAGATAGCAAAACCAAAGCTTAGAAATAAATTCACTGAATTGCAAAGCTTCGAAGAAACTGATACAACTAGGATGACTAAACAATCCTCAAAATAAAAGACTGTGAATATGGAAGAGAAGAACAGTGGCACTGATGATGGGGAAGGAATGAGCCTGAATGAGCTATTGAAAGTGAAGAATGGTGAACAGGGAGGTGAGAAAGTTAGTAAGGTGTGAGAGGGGAAGCGTTAGTTAAGAAGCGGTGTTGCCACGTCAAGGCCCTTCCCCGCGAACACCGTAAAACACCAAATGATAAAATGATGATGAAAGCTACATTAATGTACAAGTTCCGAAAAATAAAAGTTCAAAATACAAGCATCTGTGATCAATAAAAGCATATATATGTTCTATGAGGAAATGCTGGTTAATAAAGTGTTATTTCAAGTGTTTATCCTGAAAACAAAGCTATTAGGACAGACCCTAACTTTATAGCACAATTTAATATTAAAATAATTTACTAAGTGCAAATGTAAAAGCAACATGGTTATGTGCTCTCTGATTTCTCATAAGCACGGGATCTTGGGAACAGGCTGCGATTCCAAAGAACCTAAGCTGATGTTAGGAGAGGACATACTGTTATCAACATGCAGGGACAGAATGCCCAACCACTCACAACTTCCCTCAGTTGATTGCAAAACTACCAGAAGTGTGCCTGGGATCAGAAAATGCTTTCTATGTAAGTGAGGTGAGATATTCTGGTAGAAAGTTTTTATCCTTTACATAAAATTTCAGGGGAAAATGGAACCTTGGTGTTATAAATAATATTTGGTCTATAGGAATATTCTAATAAATGACTGTGTTCTTTTCTATGAGAATATGACACCTTTACTCCTATTCTTGAAGTCATTAGCAGAAATCAGTAAGTTACAGTAATTTTTCATCTTCCTATTAAAGCACCAAGAGATTTAATGTCTCTAATCTTATTCACATATTTTATAATCTTTAACAAACTTGTTATTTTAGTAATTCACAAATATCACAAATGCAAAAAACACTATTTCTTGAGTTAAACTGGGTAAAACAAACCAAAATTACAATAGAAGCATGGACTGCTAAAACCTAAAAGGAATGGAGCAAGCAAGAAAGAATTGTCAGAAAAAAATTCCCAATTCAGATGGCAGTAAAGACTTATATTTTCAAGGAAAACAAACTGACTGTTATTAAACTTATCCCCAGAATAACAAAAATGTACAGACGACAATTTGCATTACCAGGGACAGGTAGGAGAACAAGAACAAGAGCTCTGGGATAAAATAACCCCAAGATCTTCAAAGATCATTAACTAACAGTAAATTGTGAATCCACATTCAACAAAGCTCTTCACACACTTTTCCCTGCATCAGCTCCCCGCTTAACCCTTCCTCACTATTCTCTAAATACAGCTGTGGTTTTATTTTAATCCCTCAAAGGTGGCACAGTTTTTTTTTTTGGGGGGGGGGGTGTCAGACCCGGAGGTGCTCAGGAATGACTCCTGGTGGTGCTCAGGGGACCATATGTGATGCTGGGGATCCAAGCTGGGTAAGCCGTGTGCAAGGCAAACACTCTATCTGTGTGCTATGGCTTCAGGTGCTGGCACAGTTCTTTCTGACATTTAGCTTTTACTATTCAAACTGCATCTATTATCCTCCAAATATCTTTGCTTAAATGACTTCTCTGAATCAAGACTACACTGTCTCCCACGGTGCTTATCAGGACATTACAATTACTCAGATAATGTTATATGTGACATTTATTTGCCTTCCCTTTCACTAAATCACAAGTTCTTCAAGGGCAGGTCCTGTTGCCTGTTTCATAATCCTAGCCTCTAGTGCTCTAATGCATGATTTAATATCTAAACATGAAATAAATTCTGTTGTGCTTACAACTTAAAATAATCAAATTTAAGTTCCAAAATTAAACTGATAACAAATATCATTATTATATTATTTAGTTGGATATTATCCTATAAGTTAATTACTTTCACGGTCACAGTCCTCCCGTTGTTCATCGATTTGCTCGAGCGGGCCCAGTAACGTCTCCATCATGAGACTTGTTACTGTGTTTGGCATATCGAATACGTCACAGGTAGCTTGCCAGGCTCTGCCGTGTGGGCAAGATACTCTTGGTAGCTTGCCGGGCTCTCCGAGAGGGGCGGAGGAATCGAACTCAGGTCGGCCATGTTGGCTGCTTGTAAGGCAAACGCCCTACCACTGTGCTATCACTCCAGCCCACTTTATTCAGAGTAGTTAAGAACAACAGAATTTAAAATTTTTGAAGTTTTACAGTATCATATTCAAATTTCTTTGACTTGGAAAATTACCAACAAAATCACAGATAACGGCATTCTTTGAGGATGACCTAAAATGATGTTTGGCAATTTATACTGATAATGTCTATGGATTATATACTATGTTTTATCTTCTTTAATTTTATATATACATACATACATATATATACATATATATGCACCAACTTCAAATAAATTACCTTGCTTTTGTTCACAGTTCACAGCACAGCCTAAGATGAGCTGAAGCATCCTTCCTAGTTCTGCAGCATCAGAATGCTCTCCAATAAGGTTCACATCAGGAAGAGTAAAATCATTAATCTGTTGACCTAAAATCTGAATGAAAACAAAAAGACCTGAGGTGAAAGTATATTTATATGACCAAATACAATATTGAATAGAGACCAGTGTAACGGCACTGGAAACCCCGTTAAGACAGCTGTCAGGGCACTTGCTCTCACAGAGCTGAAACATCACACTCCTTCGCAGAGGTGTCACAGCAACCTCCCTCCAATTCCCAGTATTTACCCCACATATCTCATCATAACTATCTTAAGTCACAGCAATTTCTGCTCTAATCTTCAACGTGGTATGTACACTGAATGAAGAAACTGTATTTCTGATCCCTCTAGAAAAAACTGATGTAAACTCCTTGGAAGAAGTAGAGCCAGAGGAGTTCTGAATCAGAGGCACAACAGGGAGAACAAAGAGCTCAAAGAGAGGCCCCTTCCTTGAACACTAAGATTATCCCTAACTACTTTCACTTCAATTAACTCCAAAAAACTGAGAGCAAGACTCCTATTATCAGGAAGGAGAATAGAAGATTATTTTATAGGGAAATCTATTAGTTCCAATAACATAACATGTAGACAAATGGGTTGTTTTCTGTCAGAAAACCCAATGGTTTGAAAAAGCAATCCTAAATGTACAAGTAGAATGAAAGCGTTACAGTGTTTTCAGTGAAGGAGAACAGCATACTATAATTAGGGAGGTCAAGAAATTCCTGGTAGCTGAAGGTAAGAAGTATAAATTTGATTCTCAATATAACAAAAACCATGAAGACTGCAGAAAAAGTGGCATACTCATAGCTATTATAATTCTGGCTTTGGCATGGCTTTAGAATGGACTATAGAGAGGCAAGTGTGCAACTGAGGTACCATTTAGACAATTTAGGTATAAATGCAAACAAGCTTGTAGGGCAAAACAGTAATGAGAAAACATAGGTTTTGAGGTTATGCTGTGTCCATATGGTATCTGCTGCCTGCTGAACATGTCTCTGAGGATAAAATGATTTAGCCTCAAGATGCAGATTTGCCAAGCAATAAAACTAGGTAGCTCTTGGGGCCAGAGAGACAGTACAGGGGTTAGGGTGCCTGCCTTGCACATGACCAATTCTGGTTGGATCCCAGGCAGTCCAGGTCCCCTGAGCATGTTACAAGTGATCCCTGGGCTTAGAGCCAGGAGTAAGCCCTGAGCATAGTTGTGTGTGGCCTCAAAACAATAAAAAAGGGAAGAAACTGGTATAGTCAAGGACACTATAAGAATGCAGAACTATTTAAACTATATTCAGAGGGAAGAAAGAGGGAACAGAGAGTTAATTATGGGCAGAAAGTAAAGTCTGATAAACTTTTCATAACTCAGTAAAAACATTATCTCACAATTGCATAATAGATGTCTGCTTAAACTAACATCCTAGAAACTAAAAAAATGAAAGATAACCTCATTACCGATTCTTTTCTTTTTTGGTTTCTTTTTAGGCCACACTTGGTGGTACTCAGTACTTACTCCCAAGAATTGAACCCGGGCCAGCTGTGTGCAAGAGAAGTACATACCCACTGTACTATTATTCTGGCCCCTCATAACTTTCTCTTTTTTTAATGTAGGAGTACTGCTCTTTATTCAGTCACTGATTAGCTGACTGAATTGGGCATGAACTCCACTGATGCAACTTTCTCTTTACTTGGAACCTATAATAGTTCCTAGCAGAATACGGAAAAAAAGTTCTTACCTCATGATTATAATCCAGGATCCCTTTTAAAATTTTCTTTAAATTGCTTATCTGTTTAAAGAGAAAAAAACCAACTGGGTAAAAATGCATGCACAGAAAAAAATAAGGGATAAGATAAAAACTTTCTGGACTAATTAATCATTTCAGTTAATCGTTAAATAAATATAAAATTTATTAAAGGATTTGCTCGAGCGGGCCCAGTAACGTCTCCATTGGAGACTTTGTTGTTACTGTGTCTGGCATATCGAATACTCTCGGTAGCTTGCCGGGCTCTCCGAGAGGGGCAGAGGAATCGAACTCGGGTCGGCCATGTTGGCCTCTTGTAAGGCGAACGCCCTACCCGCTGTGCTATCGCTCCAGCCCGGTTGAACCCAGGACCTGATACATATGCTCTACCACAGAGCTGTATCACTCAGCCCTTCAACTGGATCAGAATTACCACTGTTATTAAAAAATAAACAGACCAGGGCTGGAAAAAGCAGGGCAGGGCGTTTGCCTTGCACGCGGCCGACCCGGGTTCGATTCCCAGCACCCCCTATGGTCCCCTGAGCACTGCCAGGAGTAACTCTTGAGTGCAGAGCCAGGAGTAACCCCTGTGCATCGCCAGGTGTGACCCCAAAAGGAAAATAAAATAAACAGACTAACAATGACTTAATATGTCTAATCTAAGAGATTCATAAAGAAAACACAGAAGTATCCAATTATTCCATTTTGTGAATTTACAACTCCATGGATTGAAAACTGGAAAGTAATACGACTAAACTATAGAGTTAAATTATTCAGTTTTTTTTTTTGCAGGTAGAGAAAAACACGAAGTCCTCAACGAAGACTTAAACTCAGTGTTATATTTCCTAGAAAAGAGGAACTGTATCTTACAAAGACATAAGCAAACAAGCACAAATTACTCTCAAAATTAACCTTGGAAATCTTTTAAACATAATCTATGTTGGGCTGACCAGTGGGCAGGATGCTGTCTAGGTGAGCAATGCAAGGAGTGATCCCAGAGTGAAGAGCCAGGAATAAGCCCTGAGCACTGCTGGGTGTGGCTCAAAAACTGGAAAAATAAAGTAACCTCTGAAGAAAAGTCTTGAAGTATCTGCCTGTCAGAAAAAATTTCTGTACTTGAGTATCCAAGAAAATTTTAAGAATCACAGGTAAAAAACAGAAACCCCCCGAAACAATTATTTCTTGAAATTCAGGAATACTGTTGACTATTTCAAAACAGCAGGGCACTAGGTGCTGTGGAAAGTTTTCAAGGTACAACACTCATTCGAGCACAGCTCACTGGTCTACATATATCATAGGAGGGAAATGAGGCCAGAATTACCCACAGTATTTATTATTTTTTTTTATTTACTTATTCTTTTTTTCTTTTTGGGTCACACCCGGCGATGCACAGGGCTGACTCCTGGCTCTGCACTCAGGAATTACTCCTAATGGTGCTCGGGGGACCATATGGGATGCTGGGAATCAAAACCGGGTCGGCAGTAGGTAAGGCAAATGTCCTACCCACTGTATAATCGCTTCAGCCCCTATTTTTGTCTTAATTTTACACATAACTCTAAGGTTGAATTTGAATTAAGTAAGATGTGCTTATAATATGATTGATCACTGGCATCCCTAGACAAGGTTAACAATTTAAGATGTTAATCTAGAATTAATGATGTTAGAAACTGAGATTACTAGACAAAATAAGTTAAACTGTGGGAGTACAATCCAGTGGCAAACAAAACATTAATAAGAGAGAAAATAAAAACCTAATTTAAAAAAATATTTCACACAGGGTCTAGAGATAATTAGCAGGTAGGGCAAACAGATGAGGGAGGGCATCTGCCTTGCATGTAGCTGGCTAGGCTTTGATCCCCGGCATCCCATTTGATCCCTGAGACCCTCAGGAGTGATTCCTGAGTGTAGAGCCGGGAAAAATCCCTGAGCAACCCCAGGGCTGGTTCCAAAACAAACACAAACAAAATATAACTATATTTAATACATTAAAATTATTTAAATTTCTAGAGAATCTGGAGAAATAGATACTTTATTCATTTCCCATATTTTGATATTTGAAATTGCATTTAAGAATGGGTTCATTTAAAATTATATTTTATATCCTGTTTAAGAAAACCATTTATTTCCTTTTGAAAAAGGCTGTAACTTATCATCACCATTAATTAGCAGCAACTAAAACATCAATAAATATAAAGGGTAACTAATATACAGAAGTAAAAATTCAAATCAGAACTGACATTTTCAGTTCTGAATATGAAGAATATGAATGACTTTCTCTAGTTCTATCTTTTAGTTCCATTTTAGTCATACTCCTGACACAGTACACACTGTATATATGTATAGGTGTATTGTGTACATTGGGGGGATAGGGTGGGATATACAACTTACTCTTTAGTTAAGCCCAGAAGCAAACAAAATGGTTAGTGGCACTGTTGTAAGCATTTATAAAGTTATCATTTTAACTGCCTCTTCTAATAGCAGTATTATTAAAAAGTGTATATTAACCCAGTAACTGACTCAAGGGCTGGGGCACATGCCCTGCATAATGGGGCACTGGGTCTGAGCTCTGACACTGTATGGGCACTGGGACTGCCCCAGGAACAAGGAACACACCCTGCGCACCCCTGGGGGTGGCCAAAGAGTACCAAAACCAAACAAAAATTAGTATCTAGTCTGTGTGGGTTAAGAAGAAGGGATTTGATTTTGGCACACCCAATAGCTAAGCAATCAGTAAGTATTTTTCATTAAATAAACACTATAGGTGAAACATTTCAAAAACAGCATCTAAGTCTATTTGACTTTAAAAGGAAGGAATTAGATTTTGGTAGTCCAATATCTAAGCAACAAATAAATATTTCTCATTAATAATACACAATAGGAAATATTTAAGTCAAGAAATTTTCCAAGTTCACACAGTTACATTCCTTTGACAATACCATTAAAAGAAGTGATTGTAGGGCCAGGGACATGGCTCAGTGGTAGAGTATGTGCTGAATGTGTGATGTCCTGGATTTGATTGGCATTTAACACAAAAATTTTCACTTTTTTTAAATTCCACAATTTTTTGGGTGCTATTATTGTTTTAGGACCACACCTTATGACTCAGAGTCTACTCCTAATTCTGAGCTCAGGGATAATTCCTGGTGGGGCTTGGAGAACCACTTGGCGTGCCAAGGATTGAACCCAGGTTGGCTGTGTTCAAGGCAAACTTCTTACACAATGTATTCTTTTTGGCCCCAGTTCCAGAATTTTCTACACTTCCAGTCATGACCATAACTGGGTAATTTAACGTAGCAAAATTATAGAGCTAGAGAACCCAAGTGGTTTACATGAATGAGGGAGAGGGATGATGGATGTGATATGGACAGAGGTATGAAAGCAGCATCAAGAAGACTTACCAAGATGGAATACTTCTGAGTCTTCACTACAGTTGTTGCTAAATAAACCTACAAATTTGATGCCTCTACACATAATTATACAAACACAAAAGTCTATGTAAACATTTAGGTGGACAGCAATTTATAATGCACTTATTCCTTACATTTGGTCAAAGAAGTTTGAGAAATATTGGTACTCAAGGCTACTAAGAAGGAAATAAAATGAATTTTTACTCAGCATGTTTTCACACAGTTAATATTTGTTCATTATTAATGACATTAGTGACTGATATGTCAGAAATTATTTTCAATATATTACATGTTAACTACTGTATTTATGGCATAGAGTCCATTTTAAACTTTATTTTACAAATGGGAAAACAGACATAAAAGGTTCAGATTCTCCCAAGGAGAGAAAACGGTAAAGTTGTGATATGGATATAGACACTCTGGCTGCAGTTTTCCGATTTTCACTGCTTCTTCACTAGGCTTTAGTAATTGTAACAGTTTCTTAGTGAGCAGCAATAAGTTACCACCAATATACAATGATAGATTATTTCACTAAAGGGTATTTAAGCTTTTAAGCTCCCTGGACATATCAGATCAAAACCCAACAAATGTTATACAACTAAATAAATGAATACTAACAAATGGAAAAATAAGAAAATACCTTTAGCCTCCAATTATCGCCTACTTCAGTTTTGATTCTGTTAAGCCAATTTTCATCAAAATATGCAGGATCTCTGCAAATAAGAAAAAAAGCTAGCATATTAAGACCATGTAGCTATAAAACTAAAAAACAAACAAAAAACACTCAAAATTAAACTCATCCCTTATCATCACTTAACTGCTACATAAAAACGTATTGACACTTAGCAGTCACAAAATAACTTGGTACATAGGACTGGATGCAATTACAGTAGTACTGCTCATCAAGAACAAAAACCAAACATCAACCAAAAACTACTTATTAAAAGCAAACAAGAAAGTAAAATATAGCAGTAAATTTTAAAAGCAAATTATAGACAAATATACAGAATTGGAAGTAACTATTTATAGTTACATGATAGCACAGCGGGTAGTGCATTTGCCTTGCATATGGCTGGCCCAGGTTCGATTTCTCCATCCCTCTTGGAGAGCCTGGCAAGCTACCTACTGAGAGTATCCAGCCCGCACGGCAGAGCCTGGCAAGCTTCCTGTGATGTATTCGATATGCCAAAAACAGTAACAACAGTCTCACAATGGAGACATTACTGGTGTTCACTCAAATAAATTGATGAACAACGGGAGGACAGTGCTACCGTGCTACACTAATACCCAAATGGAGTCAATATTACTAGCACAATTTTAAGTAGACAAAATGCAAACATCAAGAAAGGTTGCAAATTTTTCAGTTAAGATTTTAATGACCTCCAATCACCCAATAATTTAAAGTACCATAATAATATCACTAAAATTTCAGCTTTTTAAATTAACAGAACCTCTTTCTTCAGATATGCTGCTAGGCATTACACAAAGCTGGATACCATTTCTGTTTTCAGAAGACTAACAATCTGACAAAGCACAAATGTAGATAAATAATTTGAAACAAGAACAGAAATTAAACACACAGATGCTGATTTTTCTTAGGAAAACCTCTCAAAACCTATGAGCACTCAACAGAAAAAAACAAACAGTGTAAGCTTCAATTTATAGCTTTTTAAACTAGTGCTCCAAGAAATTATTTGTTCAAGGTTAAACACCAATGCCTATCCTCTTTAACAAGTGCTATATTTGAAGATTATTTCAAAACACAACTGTTGGGCAGGTAAGGGAGAGAGCTCAAAGAGCTGAAGCATATGCCTGGACACACAGGGTCCTGGGTTCAATCCCGGGCACTGAATGGCCTCCAGAGCACTGCAGTGTAGTTCTGGTGGCTCCAACAATAATCAGGGATTTCTGCCCAAAACAAGACTCCAGTCATCCAAATAAATAAGGACAATGAGAGAAATACGTTGAAAAACACAACTACATTTTAACTTATACACTTACTCACTCAAAATATATATAATCAGCACCAAGTTGTGTTGAATATTTTTTTTGTGTTAAATTACTTCTATATGAATACATGGTATTTAGAATACAAAGTTTTTTGCTTTTGTTTTTGTTTTTTTTTGGGTTACACCCGGCGTTGTACAGGGGTTACTCCTGGCTCATGCACTCAGGAATTACTCCTGGCAGTGCTCAGGGGACCTTATGGGATGCTGGAAATCAAACCTGGTTCAGCCGTGTGCAAGGTGAACATCCTACCCACTGTGCTATCGCTCCAGCCCAAGAAAACAAAGTTCTTGTTTTTAAAAAAAGTACTTATAGTTTTTTTTCTTACATGAAGCTGATCCTACTTCAAATCTCCTGGGTATATGGTTGCCTGAGTACTGCCAGGAGTAACCCCTGAGCACAGAACCAGGAGTAAGCTCTGAACACTGTCAGGTGGGGCCCTCAAAAAGATAAAAAAAAAAAATGTCTTTTTTCTAAAGTAGCTGCATCGTTTAATTTTCTTGCTAGGAACTGATGTTGGTTCCAACGTCTTCACAGTCTTGCCAACAGCTACAATGATCTGTTCTGGGTAACAGCCATTGTATGTGAATGTGAAGTAGTATTTTATTTTGACTAATGGCTTACATTTTCTTAAATGAAAAAAAAATATCTAGAGTCTTTGTTCGTTAGGGCTCAGGAGATGCTTCAATGGGTTGAAGTGCATGCTTGGTATGCAGAAGATCCTGGGTTTGATAATCTAGGATCAAACCACATGGCCTCTTGAGCACTCCAGGGTACAGCCCTGGTAGACCCCAGCATTGCTAGTGAGCTCCTCTTCACTCCCCTGAAAAAAAAAGAACAAGCAAACAAACAAACAAAAAGAGTCTTTGTCTATTTAAGAAAAGGACTGTCTAAGTATTGGGATATATGCGATATGCCAAACACAGTAACAAGTCTCACAATGGAGATGTTACTGGGCCCGCTTGAGCAAATCGATAAACAATGGGGAGGACAGTTCTACAGTGCTACAGTATTCAGAATACAAACATAAGATGTGCAAAGAATTTCTCACACAATGACTTGATTTTTACTTTCTTGATGGCATAATTTACAGTTTTTTCTTCTTAAAAAAAGAATCTTTTGAGTCCACCAATCAGGTTTTAGGGGCCCAAAATCATTACAGGCCGCATATGGTCAATACTAGGGTCCCAAGAATGCAGCACGGCTTGGGTCCTGTGATGCTGGGGCCTCCACTGCCATATGCTGTGGTACCCAAAGTAGCTTTTGGTGTTAGAATCTAAAATGCTCTCACTGAATTCAAGGTCCAGAGAATAACGCTATGTTATTTCTTCCTTTCTGTTTTTGTTTTGGGTCACGTGTGGCAATGCTCACGGCTTACTCTTGGCTCAGGGGTCACTCCTAGCAGGGGATCATATGTGGTGTCAGGGATTGAATTAGGGTTTGCTCTGTGCAAGGATAATTGCTGTATCCGCCGTAAGGACCTGGTCTGGTCCCTTATGTTCTCTTCTAAGAATTTAACAATATCAATTGATATTTAGCCTAAGATCAATCTGTGTACCGTATAAGGCTATATTGCTTCCTTTGCATATGGATATTTACACATATCTGTTTCAGCTTTGATTTTTAATATAGCTTTAATCTTAGTCTAGTATCAACTTCAGCACATTTGTGAAAAAAAAAACACAGAAAACTTAAAGATTATTGAGATTATGTTATAGTACTGAAATACAGCTTGTATTTACACACACATAAAAATACTTGAAGATGGGGAAAGCTATTAAGAAGTGGTAGAGCAACTGCCTTTAAGGCATGAGAACACAAATTTGATATTTGATCTCTGGGTCTAGTCAGATACCTAGGGCAATCCAGGTGGTACTGCCATCTGTAATCCCGTGACCACTAAAAAAAGTGTGTGATCTCTAGCACACCACAAACAAATGTTTGGAACCTTCAACCCCAGGTCATAGTAACATAAGAGGGTAAAATGAAAAATACTTATTAGGGGGTATGGTGCTGCCAGCATGTCAACCTATACCTGTGGGGTGAGTCATCTGCAGTTGAGACAGGCTACCTCCCCCCACTTCACTATATTCCTGGAAGCACTGGCAGTCACCCCCACGAACCAACTCCAGTGCCACCATGTAAGCTCTTTTACCGGCCTTGCTGCAGAGCTCCATGAGTCTTGAAAGAGATCAAAAGCCAGTTAATCCTGGACCAGCACAAGGCTGAACAGACAGGGGTAACTTGGAGTATGTGTGTGTGTGTAGGAGCGGGCAGGAGCGGGAGATCATCATGGTGCCCGCCCAAGCAGAGCCCCCAGCAGTCGCTTGCTTCCACAATCCAAAATCGCCTCCACTCCACCATCTCAGGAGGGAACTCACCAAGATACAATCTGCTGAAAATTGGGGTATGCGGGTTTTGCGACTGAAATCCCCAGTCTTTCTTGAACATAACTCTAGCGAGTATGAGAAAGACTTGAAGGACATTATTAGAACATATCTAATTGTTCCTCTCTTTTCTCCTTCAGATAGAACATGAGAAAGAAATAGAACACTGAAACTATTATAGCCTGCCCAGACATTTGTCACAATTAGAACTTTATATCCTATTACTACCCTCACATGAGTGTGATGCTAACTAAGGGTGTGTGTGTCTAAGGTGTGTGAATGTGTGTGAAACTGTTAATTTTGACTGATATTGATATCCACATTTACTCTTTAGAAATAGTTATTAGCATTACTTTTTTCTTAACTGAAAAGTCAGTTTTTACACGATAGCACAGCGGTAGGGCGTTTGCCTTACAAGTGGCCAACATGGCCGACCCGAGTTCGATTTCTCCGCCCCTCTCGGAGAGCCCGGCAAGCTACCGAGAGTATTCGATATGCCAAACACAGTAACAACAAAGTCTCCAATGGAGACGTTACTGGGCCCACTCGAGCAAATCGACACTCAACGGGAGGGCCTTTACCTTTTACCTTTACTCCCCCTACATTCTTCTGCTCCTGTCCTCCTTGCTAAATGTCCTGTTCTCTCTAGTCTCTCACATCCTCCAAACTTTGGCGGTAGCAACCACACCCAGCACCAACACAATCAACATATAAAAGCCCTTCTTGATCTCCTGCAGCCAGGAGATCCCCTGAAGGGTGAAACATCACCTAGCATGTGTTTCTCCTTTCCTTAGTCCAACAGCCATTTCAACATTCATCTTTATTCTACTCCTTAATAATATTAGTCACTTTGTATGGACATAGTAAGATACATTAAGCTTAGAGGATGCCTCTCCTGGGGACATCTCACTATAGATCTCAGACTACAGTGCTCAGGCCAGATTAACCTTTCCTAACCCTAGCAGGGTCCTAAATCTAGTTGTTACTTTTTGGATCATAACAGTATTTGTCCATGACCACGCTCTTAACTTAAGTATTATGTTACGTTAAGAGCATAACTCTGGCCTGGCCCATTTTGATGCCAGGGTAGCTCACAGCCCTGCCTTTGGGGTGCTAGGAACTAAGGGCAACTGAGGTTTAAGTCAAGAGAACAGATGCCCAGGAGTGAATATTATTCAGAGTCAATTAACTTCCCAAATTCAAAGGCATAGCATTAACTGTCTTCCTGTGTCTAAACAAAAAGGACATTGCTCTGAAGTATGCAAAGGACATAAGGAGAAGAGAAAAGCAATATTTACAGGTTAACAGAGTCTGATTAG